AAAATATATTACAAAAATAGAACCAGGGCTCTCCCTGGTGGCTCATTGGATTAAAACAGCAGTAAGAAGTCACTGCATCATGAGCTCAATCCCTGGCGAGGTTGCTGGCCCACCTGGTGTCGCAGACCTTTCCTGACCCGCCTCTGCTCCCCTCAGCAGTGTATTTTAGTGGATTTGCCTGTTCTGTTCCCCACTCTGTCTCTGGTGAATCCTCTCATGCCCTGCACCTCTGGCCTGTACACCGGTTCCTGTACACATAAATCTTAAAAAAAAAAAAAAAATCAATGTCTCAAATGGCACTTTCATTGTTTAGTAAACATACCAATGATTGCTGTTAGATTTTTCTTGTTTTATTTTATTTCTTTATCTTTATTGAGGTCACATTGGCTATTGGATGTTATATCATGTTCCACATCCAATGCACAATTCAAGGGAGCAGGAAGGATTATTATTAAATCTTGGGGGCTTTGGGACAGGTGGCAAAACTTTTTGAGTGTGTTTCCTTTTGTTATAAGAGTTTTGCATGCTAGAAAGATCCTTGGCTGCTGAATGAAGAGCAGAATTGAGGGACTGAGGATAGGAGAGGCCTATACAGTCTTTCAGGGGCACTTCTGGCTGGCTGGAGAGCTGTGGCAGCATTTGGGGAGAAGGAGAGCTAGCCCTGAAGGTTCTTCTGCTGCTGCCTATTCCATGCCCATAGACAGAAGCTGCATGAGGCAGATTTGGAGCTGCAGCGGAAGCGGGAGTACATTGAGGAACTGGAGCCACCTGCTGACAGCAGCAGTGAGTAGGGCTGGAAGGTCAGATGAGTGGAGGGTCTCCCAGAGCTTGATGTGGAGCTGAGGGCCACCTTGTTCCCCCAGCCGCCCGACGTATTGAGGAGCTGCAGCACAGCCTGCAGAAGAAGGATGCAGATTTGCGTACCATGGAGGAACGGTACCGTCGTTACGTGGACAAGGCACGCACGGTGAGGATGCTGGGTACCTCCTATAGAGGGTGCTGCTGCCCTGTCACTCAAGTCTCATGTCAATTTGCTTATCTCTGCTACCCATATCACAGACTTCTATATTACTGTCAGGAGTTGTCATACCTAATGTACCCCAACAGGTATAGGGGTCCAAGAGGTCAAGGTCACTCTGGCTGTGTCTTTCCCAAATCCTAGGTCATACAGACCCTGGAGCCCAAGCAGCGGCCACTTGGGGGTGCACCTCTAGAATTCCACACCCTGAGGACACAGTTGCGGGAAAGGGATATCCGCATTCATCACCTGGAGGTGGGTGCTCGTGTCCCTTGGTGCTATCCCCAGTGTATCCATGTTTTTAACTGTTGCCTCCCTGGCAGATGGACTTTGAGAAGAGCCGAAGTCAGAGGGAGCAGGAAGAAAAACTGCTCATCAGTGCCTGGTATAATATGGTGAGTGTAGCTATCATGGCTGGAGTACTGGGGTGTCCTAAGGGCTTGTCTAATCTAAATCATGCACCCTCCCTCCAGGGCATGGCTCTACAGCAGCGAGCAGGAGAAGAGCGGGCACCTGCCCATGCCCAGTCATTTCTAGCACAGCAGCGGCTGGCCACCAACACTCGCCGTGGGCCCCTGGGACGCTTAGCACCTCTGAACATGCGCTCCCCGGACAAGCATTGATGAACCTCAGGATCCTGCCACCTGCCCAGCCAGTTAGCCCTGAGTTTTCCCAACTTGTTGCAAAGAGCCCAGAATCATGCTTCAGCCACCTGTGTGAGCTACTCAAGACCATGATCTCTGTCCTTTGCTCTTCCATATGGGACAAGAGTGCAGGATAGGACAGGTGGAAAATATGACCCTATTCTTTTTAGCAATGTGATTCTTATCCTTGATTTTCTCCATGGAGTTCACAAGCTGCCAGAGGAGAATAATTTTGTACTTGAGAAAATAAATAAGACTTTTAAACTGTCCTAGCTAGATTTGAGGCACTGAAGTGAGAAAAGAGATGGACCAGAGATGCAGACCATTGTTGTAAGAAAGGCCTGACTCTTGCTAAAATGTGAGTGACTGCTAGCACTCAGTGGGTAGTGAGGCTCACATTTATGACTATGTTGTGAGTGGTAGATTTTGAAGAATTTCACGCAAAAACCCCTGCCTCATGAAACTGTCATTTTTTTAAAAACAGGTTTATTTTATTATTTATGCATACAAGAGCTGGGGTGTAGGCCACAGTAAGTGACTGGGAGCAGGATGAGAGTATTCACCAGAAAATCTTCTGGTGGAGAGACAGAGTGAGGAACAGAATAGGCAGACTGATTGAAATACACTGCTGAGGGGAGAAGTAGGTGAGACAGGAGAGGTCTGTTTTGCCATGTGGATTAGCTACCTGGCTGGGGATCAAACTTTTACTTCAGTGCCTGCTAATAGCTCCAGTGCGCTGAGATTTAACCTCTTGTGTCACCTGGGAGCCTGAAGCTGTCATTTTCATTGAAGGTAGAGACAATACATAAAAGAGACAAAGTTTGATGTGAAAAATGCTACAGTAAAAAATGAAACAGGGCTTCCCTAGTGGCACAATGGGTTAGAGTACAGCACTGTGAAGCTATCGCAGCCACTGCAGCACAAGTTCGATCCCTGGTCAGGGAGGTTTCCTGCATGGCGTGGCAGACATCTCCTGACCTGCACACTGGTCTCCTCAGCAGTCCATCTACCTGTTCTGGTCCCCACTCTGTCTCTGGCGAATCCTTTCACCACCCGCAACTCTGGCCTGTACCCCAGATCTGTATGAATGAATAAATAAATCTAAAAAAAAAAAAAAAAAAAAAAACAAAACAAAACAGGGTCTTCTTGGTGGTGCAAGGGGTTAAGTCACAGCATTATGAAGCTATCTGCAGCAACTGGAGCATGAGGTTGATCCCCAGCCAGCGTGCTGAGCCACATGGCACAGCAGACCTCTCCTGGCTTGCCCGCTGCTCCCTTCAGCGGTGTATTTCAGCTAGTCTTCTCCCTCCTGTGGTGAATCTTCACTCTGGTGAATCTCTCACACCCTGTACCTCTGGCCTGTACTCTAGTTCTTGTATGCATAAATAAATCTTTAAAAAACCACAAAATGATATAAAAATAAACTATTATAAATAAACAAGTGATGCTGATGCAGGAGGTGGGTTTGGGTAGTGGCAAATTTTTGTTTAAAGATTTATTTATGTATATAGTACTGGGGTACAGGCCAAAGATGGTGGGAGGATTCACGAGGGACAGAGTGGGGAGCAGAACAGGCAGATCGAGGAAGTACGCTGCTGAGGGGAGCAGCAGGCGAGACAGGAGAAGCCTGCTGCACCATGTGAGTTACCTCCTGGGCCTGGGATCAAACTTTTGCTAAAGCTGCTGCACTTGGCTTCGTTCGAAGTGCTGTGCTTTAACCTGTTGTGCCACTAGCGAGGGTCCAGTAGTGGCAATTTTTAATAAAAGTTCGGGAAGAAGGTGACAATTTAGTTAGAGGCCTAAACAAGGTGAGGGAGGAGCCATGTAGGTATCTGGGGAATAGTGGTCCAGGCAGAGGGAACAGCATATACAAAGGCCCTTTGATAGCTTATTAGAGGGATTAAAGGGTAGTGAGGGACCCTCCCTGGTGACACAACAGGTTAAAGTCTCAGCACTATGAAGCTATCCACAGGCACTGCAGCAGGAGGTCCATCACCAGCCAGCGAGGTAACCCACATGGCATGGCAGACCTCTCCTGTCCTGGACGCTGCTCCCCTCAGCAGTGTTTCAGTAGATCTGCCTATTTTGCTCCCCACTCCGTCTCTGGTGAATCCTCTCACCCCTCACACTTCTGGACTGTACCGCAGTTCTTGTATGTATAAATATATAAATCATAAAAAGGGGGGGGGCTAGTGCAGGAAGCCAGTGCAGACAGAGCAGTGATTTTGGGGGAAAGAATGAGAAGAGATGAAGGTAGGAAAATTGTTCAGGGCCTGCTTCAGCTTTTACTCTAAGTGAATTGAGACTCATGAGGGTTCTACATAAAGAAGCAACATGATCAGATTCAGGTATTCATAGGTTGCTTTGGGATCCTTTGGCTGCTGTGGGATTAAAACAGGCTAGGGATAGGAAGGGTTTGTTAGGATCAGAATTGGAAGAGCAGGGCATAGATCACTAGCTCAGGTGGGTGGGTGGTATGTTTCTGGTCAGGGAACCCTGAAGGAGTAGGAAATGGTTTAAATTTGGATACAATTTGCAGATTGAGCTGTTGGGATTTGCTGGCTGGTTGAGGATGGGCTGAAAGAAGAGTTGAAAGTAACACAGGTTTTGGCATCTTCATCTGGAAGGACAAAGCTGTGAGATTGGGAACAATGGGGAGTTAGTTTGGAGCTATGTTATGGTGGTGATGTTTAAGAAGGAAATGTTGAATAAGCAGTTAGCTTTCTGGGTCTAGAGTAAGGAGAGGAATTCTGGTTGTACTTATAAATGCAGGAGTCCTCAGCATATAATTAATTTAAGAACTGAAACACAAGAGTAGTATCTGGGAGAATAAGTACTTGGGACAGATGATCACTTGCAGATTCATAAAGCAAGAATGTCAGGAAAAAGCTGCACCCCTGGCATGGCAGCTGACACATTAGTGCCAATCCTGGCCACTGAAAGGGGCATTTCAGAAAGTAGAGTTTGGAAAGAAGTGGGTGGGGCATCACTAGATACTTTGGAAGAATTCTCAAGGCTTTGCTTTCCATGAAAAGTTGTAATCTTTTATTGAGCACCTATTATGTACCAAATATTCTGAAGTCGTTTCATCTCATCCTCATAACTCAATGTAGGCACTCATCTTCATTTTACAAAAAGAGTAAAGGCAAGACACTAGTAGAAGCTCTCAGGTGGTGGGGGATGGGAAGTAGAGCTGGTGATAAAGAACTTTTTAAAGTTGGAAGAATCCTGGCCTACAGAGTTGCTCTAAAGCTGTGAAAGCAGTGTACAGGTAGCAGGAGCCAGTCAAAAGCTGCTGAGGTGGAGTCCACATGCAGCTTCTGCAGACCTGCGTCTGCCTCCTGCGGAGGGTGTGTCTTGATCCCCTGTTCTTGGGGGTTATGGGCCTCAGGTTAGACTCTCTTCTTCCTCACCAATGGGACTGGGCAGCCAGGGTGGGGCTGGCCCCCGGGATGCAGGCATAGGCACTGAGGTGAAGGGTTCTGCCGAGGTGGGCCCAAAGTTGAGGACAGGAGCACTTGGCTCTGATCCCATGGGGGGATCAGGCTCAGGTTCCCGCAGTCCAGAGTCAAGCAGTGGGTCCCCACAGCCACACTCTGGGGCTGTGCCATCAGGGGCACCTGCACAAGCACAACTGGCAGTTGTGGAGGAGTCAGACACACAGCTGTTCTTGCGACGTAGCAAGGATAGGCGCCTTCCAAGCAGGCCTCCTGAGGTCACACCCATGCCCAAGGGCAAGAGACGCTGCAGGAAGTCACCATGTGCCTCACCTAGCCGTATATCCACACTATCCAACCTCTGGAACTGCATGTCCTCCTTGGCCAGCCTGCAGAAAGGACAGTAGTTCATTGCTGTGGCCTTGTAGGCTCTTTGATTGATGGATCTGAGTCAGGTATGCTGCTCTTCTTGGCCCCACCCACCTCTTTGTCCTACTTATCCCAAAAGACCTCTGCCCCTCAACTATGAGCCTGACTTTATCCTCTAGTTCTGGCTACATTCAAACTTAGGCTTTGAGGTTAAGTTTGCTGCGGCTCCTTTGATACTACCTTTGGCCCATTCAACACACTGAGTATAGCCCTTAAATTTGCCCTCATTTAGTGGCTTGTCCCCAGGTCTTGGTCACTTTACCCCTTAGACACTCTATCCCATTTTACTTCGCTTGTCTTAGTTCCTTATCCCCAGCCTAAACTCTGCCCCACTTCAGTCCTCATAGACTTTAGGCCTTTCTTACCTCTGAATCTACAGTTTAGCTCTTATCCCTGTCCTGGTCACTTATAACCTTTTCAATCAAATATATCCTATAGTGTGGTGAGTCCTGCCCCCAAAGTCCCTGCTGCCTCACGTGATGTCGAAGGTAGAGCCCTGGAAGGAGGGCTGCTGCATCAGAAAGGCAGTGGCTGCTGTATAGGGGGCACGAGCCTCAGCTGCATCCCAGTATAGGTCCTTCTCCATCATGGCAAGGTCATCGTACATCTCATCCACAGCTAGCATTGACACCTGCAATCACAAGAGGTGAGGTGGCAAAGCACTGCCACCATAGGATGTACCCCTCAGGTTGGGTAGGAATGTAATGATCAACAATGGGATGGTTCTGGGTAAGGCCTGGTAGGAATGTCACCAGGGCCCCACTGGGACCCTTAAGATGGCCACAACAGAGTGAGTCTAACCTGAAAGTTGCGGTCGATCAGAAAGTTGGTCTCAAAGTCATCGTCATCCTCTCCAAAGGGGTTGATGAGCTGCTCTGCTACCTGAGTGGGAATGGGGAATTAGGCAGAGTCACGAGAATTGCTCTTTTCACTCTGTAAGTCTCAGATTTGGAGTCCCACCCACCTTTAGCCAGCCAACGTAGAAAAAGAACTGAAGCAAGGTGAAGATGGGCACACACAAGTCAAGGTTGTGGCCACTGTAGCCTTGTGCAGGGTCCAAGAACTGGCGACCAATGAGGCAGGCCAGGAAATAGCTGTATACTGCAATGGTCACCACCTGGGGGGCAGGACATATCACCAGGTCAGGTTTCTTCAGGCCTCATGGAAGAGGCCTCTTCTGGTCATTCAGAGACCAGAGCTATGGGGTCTCACTTTTCCTTTTTCTGAAGATTTATTTATTGATGCATACAAGAACTGGGGAACTGGGGACCTCTCTGTTGGTGCAGTGAGTTAAAGCACAGCACTGTGAAGCTGTACACAGCCACTGCCACTGCAGCATGAGTTTGATCCCCAGCCAGGGAGCCAACCCACATGCTGCAGCAGACCTCTCCTGACCCACCCGCTTCTCCCCTCACCAGTATATTTCAGTAGATCTGCCTATTCTGCTCTTCACTTTGTCTCTGGTGAATCCTCTCATCCCCCCACACCTGTGGCCTGTACCCTAGTTCTTTTTTTTGTTAAGATTCATCTATGCATGCAAGAACTGGGGTACATCCAGAGGTGTGGGGGGTGAGAAGGTTCTTCAGAGACAGAGTGGGGAAGAACAGGTGGATCAATTGAAATACACTGTTGAGGGGAGCAGTGGGCAAGACAGGAGAGGTCCTATGCACCGTGTGGGTCACCTGCCTGGTTGGGGATCAAACTTATGCTGCAGTGGCTGCAGATAGCTTTGTAGTGCTGTGTTTTAAACCTTGTGCCACCAGGGAGGCCCCTCTTAGTTTTCCTTTGAGACTAGTGCAGGGGGGACCCTGACATTAGATATAAAGGGAGGCAGGGTGGAATTACCTGGGTGTAGACAAGGGGTATACTGATCCAGTCGTAGTGAAAGAGCATTCCACACTTGCCCCGAAATACAGTCAGCTCCTGGCAGTAGATACACGTCATGAGCTGTGAGCATGTTCTTCTGAGCCCTCCAGGAAAATCACTTAATGACTGTACAGCCCGGGTAGCTACTGCCCTTGAGGGTGTTAGATTCAGGCCTCAGAGATAAATATGCCCCTGGACACTGCTAGATAAGTGTGTTTGGAATTCTGGGAGGCATGTGGCCATCAAACACAACTTCAAAAGGGGTGTAATTTCCTTGGTATTTTATAGGAATGACATGGCAGGCCCACCTCGAGCAGTAGCTTAAGGGCGCTGTTGTCTCGGATCCGACCCTCCCGCCGGGCCTGTGCAGCCAGGTTGGAGAACCAGACACAGGGCACCCAATACTTGTTGTAGGACGAATTTAGGTTCTCAAACTTCTTGCGCTCCTCACGGGTCATAAACCCTGGAAGAGTGAGGTCAAGAGTTACTCACCCTGCCCTCCATCCTTGCCCCACCCTCTCCCTTTTCTGGTGGGAACCTCACCCGCTTCCACCACGTGATCTATAGTGGGGAAGCGCTTGAAGACCGCGGTGCTGACAGAGCGCAGAATGAGCACGGCTGACAGTCCAGCATAGCGCATGAGTGTGCGTCGGTAGAGACGGCCCCGCTCGTCGCGCCCATGCACAGTGCCTGCTACCACACACATGAGTGCGTCAGGCAAAGGCATACATAGATACTGGTTCCACCAGCGGTTCACCACCATCGTCACATAGAAGCCTGCAGGAAAGCCGGGAATAGGGATGCTCAGTGGGGATCAGGATTGTGGAAAGAGGCGTGTACATAGGGCCTGAATAGGGACACTGGGCTGGGTGGTCACCTTGAGCATGCAGGATTACTTGGGCTGGGAACTTGGGGTCCAGCTCCAGAGATCTGAACGGTTAAAGCAGGTGGGGTCACCCTGGCTACTTGGGGTCATATGGGGCAGGGGCTGGGATCTTAATAAGGGCTCATGTCAAGGACACATAGGTAGGCTGTCACCCTGACCACAGGGAGCCACTTCACTGTGGGCAAGGGGTCCTCATTTCAATCAGAGCAGGCCCTGTCAGTGAAATGCCCTCAGACAGGACTTGAGAGGATAGAGTATTATGAGGTCCCTGGGAGACCAGGATATGGAAGGGAGGGGGCTAGCAATCTCAAACAGACACGGATAGGGATCTCTGTAGTGCTCAATGATAAGTCTGGGTGACACGGAGCTCTCATGAGAGCACCTCGGATAGCAAACCCATATCTGGCACGGTAAAATGAGGGTCTTTGGGGGCTGGATTTGAGGAAAGATTCTGGGGGGGGGGGCAGGATTAAAGGGCTCTAAAATGCATGAATGGAAATGGGTTTCTCGGATCAGGGGAACGGAGGAACTCTGAGGGGCAAACGCACCGAGCACAAAAGAAACCGGGATGAGACTGGCGTACTGATCGCAGTAAATGACAAGCTTCTCAAAGTAGCGCTTTTGATCTTCTGTCAGCACCCAGCTGTGAGGGAGGAGTGTGGGGTCAAAAGCGATCCTCCGCCCCAGCTGCAAAATTCTCCCCTGCGCCCCTCCCAGACACTCCCAAGGCCTTTCCTCAGCTAGGTCTGCGGAGCCGCCCCCCGCCCCCCACGCCCCTACCCTAGATCCGAGGTTACGGGTTGGTTCCCCGCCCCACCCTGGGGCAGCCTCACCGATAGGCGGCACTCAGCGCCATGTAGAGCCCGAGGAAACAGAGCAGCTCACGCCACAGAAGTTTATAGATGCTGCCCCGCCACAGCAGGAGCAGTTGCGAGAAACCGCCGAAGCGCGCATTTGCTACGCGTGCAGTGTACGTGACAGTCATTGCGGCGCCGGGCGGGTCCCACCAGAGGAGTAAGGCTTGAACCGGGCCCAGGCCTGTTGGCCGAGGAAAGAGGGGTTGGGAGCCTGCCGACCTGGGGCTTCAGGCGGGGTAGAGGGATCGCGAACCGGCCCGCCTGGCGTCCTCTTCTGCGCCCAGGTCACTACCTCAGTTCGTGGCTTGCTCAGCTTATCGTCTTCACCCAGCCTGTCTCAGTCCTGCCCTAGCCCCCAGTCCTTCAGTCTCCCTTTAGAGTCTCCAGGTCTCAGCGTCTTGTGCCTATCTTCCTCAGGTCTTCTCTACCCCATCTTGAAGACTCTTGGGTCACTTATCAGTCCCATCCCTTACTTTAACTGTGCTTACAGCGTCTCCCCTCCCTAAGTCCCCTGAGCCTGTATCCAGGTTCTCAGCGCTGCTCTGACTACCACCCAACCCAACTCCCTCTTAGGTTCCACCTCCAGCCCCTTTACCCATAGGTCCCCACTCAGCTCTTTCTCTACTCGTGGATGCCCTTCTGAAGCCCTTGAAGACTAGTTCCCAAGCCTCAAGGCCCCTTGCCTCAGGCTGGTGCCTCTCCTACACAACAGCCTTAGCCTATCCACCGCCCCACTTAATTGCCCTGACTGTCCCCTTCTGGACCCACCTTGACTTTTCTTCTGTCCAGTCTTTCAAGCCCTCCACTCCTCACAGTGAGGATCATCCGTACTCAGAGTCCCCTGTTCCCCAAGGCCTGGGCCCTTTCCACCTGGTGGCTGGTGCAGGGACACCTGGGGATAGGGACTGGATAGGCGGGTGGCTGCTGCAGTTGGGTGGAGCTGCAGCCAGACCCTGGACGGGAGGGGGCTGGAGAGTGGGCGTGGGCAGCCTGTCCCTGGCCCGCCCCCTCAGCTGCAGCCTCAGAACTTGGAAAAGCCAGTTTTGTTACCTGGGGCAGGGGTTATAAATCCACCCTGTCCTCCCTGCTCCTCGTGTCCCTCTTCCAGTCACTGGGAGGTCCATGGGATCTCGCTTGGGGAGGGGCAGGTATCTTATTCCCAATCCCAGACACACACACACACACACACACACACACACACACACACACACACGATTCCATGAAGCTGGATCACTTGCTCCAGTCTCCACAGTAAGTGATCACACACTCACAAAGAAGCACAAAGAGACTCACATCATAGATCCAGACAAATTCAGTTTCCCTCAACACAGCCTCTCACAACCAGTCAATATGCTGTATACTCTGTTAAAAAAGACCTGGGGCCTCCCTGGTAGTGCAAGGGGTTGTTAAATTGCAGCAATATGAAGCTATTGCCGGCCATGGTGGCATAAATTCATTCCATCCCCAGCCAGGGAGCTGATCCACATGGTCCAGCAGACCTTTCCTGTCTTGCCTGCTGCTCCCGTCAGCAGTGTATTTCAGTCAGTCTACTTGTTCTGCTTCCCATTCTGTTTCTGATGAATCCTCTCCTCATCTCTGACCTACACCCCCTTTTGTATGCATAGTCTGTGAAAAAATAAAAAACTTCTAGACACACCAACACATATGCAGATATAAAGCAGATGGACCCTAATCCCCAGTGTTCAGCTTTCAGGTGCCCACAATGTGCTCCAAACAGCCTCCTAGGAGTACGCAGGCAGGAATTCAAGTGTCCCGCATTCCCTCATGATCATACCATCTAACAAAGACACACACATGAGCCCATACCAAATGGGAGATAGCACACATTTTTCTTTTTTTTTAAATTTTTTTTTTAAAGATTTATTTATTTGTGCATACAGAACTGGGGTACAGGTCAGAGGCTCAGGGGTGGCAAGAGGCTTCACCAGAGACAGAGTGGGGAGCAAAACAGGCAGATCGATGAAGTACACTGCTGAGGGGAGCAGCAGGCGGGTCAGGAGAGGTCTGCCGCACCATGTGGTCACCTCCGGGGCAAGTGGGAATTGAACTCATGCGGAAGTGGCTTTAGCTTTTTAGTGCTGCGCTTTAACCCGCTGCGCCACCAGGGAGGGCTAGCACACATTTTTACTGATGGCCTCTTCTGGTTACATACTAAATGCATGGTATGGTGGTCCCTTATACTAATCAACATGGAAAAAGATATTCATAGAACGGTGATCCCTCTCCAACAATCCCACAGATTCAGAGGATCACATCCTGACAGGGTCATGCCTGTAATCTTTGTGAAACACCTGCAATTGCAACTCAGTGCATCAATCTGCATTGTTCTACTTCTCATTCTGCATTCCCATTCCCCTTCATTGCAGTGTGTAGTTAGTTACACATACCCATACACATACCTCAGGACTACCGTGAACACATAAACTTGGGAACATATAACTTTGTTTCTGCATTTATCACGGATGCATGACAAATGCCCCCCCTTCAGACACACCTACAAAGAGGGTGCTCACCCCAGCTTCAAATGGTGTGGACTGGTGTGGGAGGACATAAAGCTCATGGTTCCAGTCCTGAAGTACCGCAGTGTGCTCCAAGGCACCTTAGGTCCATCAGGTGTCCTAGGAATGTTCATGGCTTCCCACAGCCACGCCCGGAAGCCTTACCATCAAGAACACTGTGTTCCCAGTCTGGCAGATGTCTGCCTCGCCCGGGGTAATTAGGAACCGGCTCAGGCTGGCCACCCTCTGACCTGCGCCTCCGCTATCCAGCTGCTGGACAGCCCATAAAAGCAGGAGAGGGGTTGGTGCCACTAGGGGAGGGGACAGGTTTAAAGTTGACGGGCCTCTATCCTATCAGCCCCACTCCCTAGAATGATTTCTCACTTTTACTGAAGCTAGCCTCTACCCTTCCCCAGCTTGTAGGTGTCCCCACAACTTCTGACAGCTCGACCCCTGCTGGGCTAGGGCAGGATGCCCAGGTTAGTTCACATGCTTAATATTTGTAAAATGTCGGGGCCAGGATGTGCCTAGTACTACTATAAGGTACCAGATATTTCATCTCATTGAGTACCTACAAGCAGGAGTGTTGTTATTCCTACCACCCAGTTAAGAAAACAGGCTCAGATGACAAAGTGATGTTCATGACACAGCTGGGATGTCAACCCAGACAGTTTGCATTGGTATCTTGGGTTGGTCACAGGCTGCACACCTGAGTTTGTTTACAAGCACCACCCCAACGTGCCCACACCTGCTTGTGCACACCCAGCAGTCAAGTGGGGGGGATACGTTTAGGCTTGTGGCTGAGTTTCCCTTTATACACACACACCCTGGTATACCCAAACTGGGTGTGCGAGAAAGTCTGAACACTTCCTGACTCATGCACTCCTCACACACTCCTCTGTCCCCCTCAGCCAGCACTGGCATGGCTCTTGCTAACAGGTTCATGGCTGCTCCTGGGTCTCTCAAGTGGGGATGATGGTGGCTGTGCAGGCAACAGCAGAGAGGAGTGAAGTGGGGAGTAGCTAATTAAGTACCTTCTTGGCCTGACTATCAGGTGAATTTGTCCCGTGGCTCTGTGAATGGCCACACTGATCTCCATTTTAGGGACAAGGGGGCTGAACCTCAGACAGCAGCAGAAGTATTCCACACCATTTAGGGAGACAGCTTTAGAGGTGGTACGGGACTTCAGAGACCCTCTGACCATGGGGTCTTGAGTTCTTTGCCACCCTGCTCCCTAGTTGCAGCCCCCATGCAGCAGCTCTGTACTGGGAGCAGCTGATGTCATCCATGGGAGGCAGGAATTGGGGGCGGGGATGGGGTGAAGGTCGTTAATCCCCAGTCTGGCAGGCCTAGCCTCTGCCCAGGGCGCCCACTAATTCCTAAACCAAACAGCAGGCAGCGCTGGGCTAACTGCCTACCTAATCCGATCCCCATCAGCCAAGGGCTGGTCAAGGGGCCTCCTGGTTCCCACGTTCCCAGCCTTGAAGTAAGTGAGCAGGTGCCCTTTTCTTCTCAGGCTTTAGAGTCCCAGTAGGGACACCCCTATCCATAAAGACACACACACTAGAAAAGATACACCCAGCTAGAAAAAATGAAAATTGCTACAACAAACATGCCATCTATTAGGTTTTTGTTGCAGCTATGCCTCTCCATTTTTGACATCTTTATGCGGCATACAACCACAACTTGCTCATGAAAGTGCTAATCCCAATCCCTCCATTCAACATCACAGTGGTTTAAGATCATTTTATTGAGAGGTGAGAGGTGGGGAGAGGTGGGGGGGGGCAACTACAGTCCCCCTGAGCCCCATCAGGGGGAACACCCCCCCCTCGCCTCCCACCCCTCAAGTGGCTCCCCCTGTACTAAGGGGGGAATTTGTGCAAACTCTGCCCCAGGACGGGGTGGAGGGTAGGTGTGAAATGGTAGTGGCTGGGGCTGGAGATGTATTACTGGGCACTGGGGGGCTTGTAGGGCTCCAGGAGGAGGGCAGAAAAGGTATTGACCTTGTCTGCCCCCCGTACTTCGTGGGGCAGCAGCGGCAGCTTTACAATGTGGAAGTCTTCGTACAGGTCCTCCATCTGTGGCCAGGAAGAAGGCAGAAGGCAGCAGTCAGGGGGTCATAAGGCAGGGACAGGATGTGGGTGGATGGAAAAGTTCATGGAAGGGCTGTGGGAATCTCCCAGAGTCAGGGAGAGGTTATGGGGGAAGGGTTTACAGGGTCACAAGTGAAAATTAGTTCAGTATAAGGTTAAAGATCACTAGGCTGGGCCTCCCACTCTACAAGGTGTTCAGGCTATAGTCCTCCAGGGCCAGAATTAGGGTGAAGAATCTGAAGTGGGTGAGAAGAGCAGGAGCTGGGGTTGAAAGTCAGAAGATGCGGAGTTTTTCCCAATAAACAATGAGTTCCTTCCACATCTGTGGGTTCTACCTTCTTGGATCGAAAAGATGCCAGTGGGTTGAGTCTGCAAATGCTAAACCCATGGATGTGGCGTGTCAACTATAAGTCACTGAGCATTGTCAGATTTTGGTATCCTTGGGAGTCCTAAACTAATCCTAACTACAACTGTAGTTAAGGTTTTGGGAGGGATTTAAAGTTTTGGGGGAATTTCCAATTGTGGGGGTTAGTAGTATCTTGCCTGGGCTAGGCCAGGTCCAAGTTCTGGGGTGAGAGGTATAAGGAAGATTTGTGTACCTGGTCTAGGTACTTGGCCTGGATCTTATGGCGGGCCTCACACATTTTGCAGGGCTTTTCAGGGTCAGGGAAGACGAGTTGGTTGACAATGATGTTGTGTGTGTCGATCTTGCACTTGGCCAGCTCCTGGATCAGTCGCTCTGTCTCATACAGGGACAGGAACTCAGCAATGCAAACACAGATGAAGGTTGTCTGCTCCTGCAGGGTGTGAAACAGGATGGTAAGAGGCAGATTTCAGCTTGCCCTGCCCCGATGCTTGGAGCTTCTCACAGCCCACCTGGGCCAAAACTCACAGGGTCCTTGAACTGCTCGCTGACGGACCGGATGACTGGCAACGTCTCCTCTAGCTTGGAGGCCAACTGGTCTGCATTCATATCCCCTAAGCCTAGCATGTTGCACATCTGTAGGGAGGACATGGGAGGGCTCACAGCTTCCCTGTGGCTTACCACGTCCCCTGAGTGTCTAGTAACACCTCCCCCCCAACACCTCCCAGTGGTTAAAGGCATGGGCCCTGCTGCTGAGCCCTGGTCCTAGTTCTGGCCAAAGGTTTCTGTTTCTCCAAGTGTAGACTATAATTCCAAGAGCTGTCATGCTAGAAAACTGACACATATAAGAATGTTAAAAGCAGTACCTGGTACACAGTGTTCAAGTTTGCTACTGAGGAACGTGTGTCTACAGGGGGACCACACACCCCAAGGCAGTGGTGGTGGTATGCAGATAGATGTATAGAAGCACTGGGAGTGTCATGTTGTAACATTAACCTATGGAGGCACCTAATGACCTCCATTTGATAAGGCTTATGAGGCCCAGAGGTGAAGTGGCTTACTTGAGGTCAAAGACCTCAAGTTTTGTCACACCAGAGTGAGAGCATTTGAACCTGGACATCTGGTTCTGTTGCCTTTTGGCTTCACCTGGGACACTGAGTTTTGTGGGTAGAAGTCTAGTCCCTCCAGAGAACCATCCTACCCATTGGGAAATGCTGAGAGGGGGGTATGTGGGAAAGTCCTTGGGACGGGTGGGTGGAAATCTGGGGGCCCACTGCAACTCAGGGGCCCTGCCTGCCTGTGAGATGAAGGGGCTGATCTGGTTCTTGATCTGCATGAGGCGGCCGAGGCCCCGCTCAACGATTGTGGGGAAGTTGAGCAGCCGCAACGTGTGGCCTGTGGGAGCCGTGTCAAACACCACCACTGAGAAGTTCATGCCCTTCACCAGCCTGTGGGGAGATGGGGGTCAAGGTCACTTTTCTGCTAGAGTCCCCTGTCCCCTCCAACCCCTACCCCAATAGCCAGGCCTGACCTCATGACCTCTGCATAGCTCATGGCTTCATCGATGCCTGGGAAGGCGCTCATCGCTTCTTGCATCATCTTCTTGCCCATGCTCAGCATGTTGTCCTCCTCGAAGAACTCATCAGGCAGTTCAGCCACACCAAGGCTGGGATCAATCTCCTGGTGTCAAGGAATGAAGACTCAGATTGTGGCTATTGCTAGGATCTTCCTGCTTGGGCACAGGGCCCTTTGTCAGGGCATCACAGGGACATCTTAGTGGTACCATGGCCTTTTCTCTGGCATGTAAGATTTTGTGCAGGGGTACAAATAGCCAAACCATTTCACAACAAATGAGAAACTGCAAATGGTGACTAGAGCCCCCAGAGGGAAGCCCAAGCCCACTGCAGGGCCTTTCCGGTGGCTGTTTCCCACCTGGACTCCTGACTACTTGCTGATCATTACTTTAACATGAGTTTTCCTTGATCACTCTAATAGGACGAACCAGCACCCCTAGTCCTTGCTTTTCTCCTTTACACCCAGCCCTGCCTTACATCCTATAGGCCTTACAGGCATAACTCATGATAGTGACCTTTACAGATAATACGTTTTTACAGCAGCAGAAAGATTATGATTTGCTGAAGGCTCAGGGATGTGACCATTTTTAACAATACAGCATTTTAAAATTAAGGCATATGTATTGCCTTTTTTTTTTTTTAAAGATTTATTTATACAGAACTGGGGTATAGGCCAGAGATGCGGAGGGTGAGAGGATTCACCAGACAGAGTGGGGAGCAGAACAGGCAGATCGACGAAGTACACTGCTGAGGGGCGCAGCGGGCGGGTCAGGAGAGGTCTGCCACACCATGTGGTCACCTCCGGGGCAGGCGGGCATCGAACTCATGCGGAAGTGGCTTTAGCTTCTCAGTGCTGTGCTTTAACCCGCTGCGCCACCAGGGAGGGCCTGTATTGCCTTTTAAAAAATTTTTTTTTATTTATGCATATAGCAGGTGGGGTACAGGCCAGAGGTGGGGTGGTGGTGAGAGGGTTTGCCAGAGTCAGAGTGGGGACCAGAACAAATAGACCAGTTGAAATACACTGCTGGGGGGCGCAGTGGGCAGGACAGGAGAGGTCTACCATGCCATGTGGGTCACCTCCTTGGTTGGGGATCAAGCTTGTGCTGCAGTGGCTGTTGATAGCTTCATAGTGCTGCGCTTTAACCCCCTGCATCACCAGGGGGCACTATGTATTGCTTTTTTTTTTAAGACAATGGCTTTACACACTTAATAGATTATAAACATACTTTGATATGTACTGGGAGATGAAAAAACTCATGTGACTTGCCTTTACAGTAGTGGTCTGGAATACAGTGTTTCCTAGGTTTGCCTCTATACTGTTATCATCTATCTCCCCAACCAGAAAGATGATCTCACCAGGGCAGGGTTTTTTGTCTTGTACACTGTTGTGTCCCCATTACCTGGAAGTGGCTGGCACTCAGTAGGTCTGTAACATGTACATGGAAATTCACCAAGGGATGAACACTCCTCGGGTCCCTGGTTAGCCCTGAACTCAGGTTTGCTCTCTTTGTCTCCCTCCCACATAACCTCTTTTTTTCATTAAAAAATTAAAAAAAAAAAATTTATTTTTGTGTAGAGGAACTGGGGTGTAGGTCACAGGTGTGGGGGTTGGGAGTCACCAGATATGGAATGGGGAGCAGAAAACAGGCAGGTGTATGCTGAAATACTGAGGGGAGCAGCGGGTGAGACAGGGGAGGTCTGCTGTGCCACTCCCTGGCTGGGGATCAAACTCAGGCTGTAGAGCCAACAGTGCTGAGCCTTACCCCTTAGGCCACCAGGGAGATCCCCCACGTAACCTCTTTTTGGCGACTTCATGAGTACAGCCCCCAACTTGCTGGACTCAGAGGTCATTTCCTGTAGGAAGCTTGCCTACCCATCATACCCCAGTTTCAGCTTGGCTGTGTTATTCCTAGCTATTTGGTCACTTGGAAACCAAACTGCTCCCCTTCCACACCCTACTGTCATGATTCAGAATGCCACAACTCTTGTCCATTATTCCAAACTTCTTTGAGCCACCTCATTCCCTCACCCTGTTCCCTTTTCACTATCCCTCTTGGTCAGCACCCTTCTCCAGCCCAGGGTCTGTCTCTGCAAATACTCCTTCTTCCCTCTGTGGCTGGCAAAGTTCCTACCTTGGTTATTACCAGCTCTCTGCAAGGGCTACATTATGGTGAACATCAGGGAAACATACCCAGTGACAAATACCTCGACCCCCAGTCCTTATCACCAATCTCCAATAGGCCCTCAACAACCAGACAATCCACCCAAGAAATATTTATGTTGTATCTTTTCCTTCCTCAAACTTTTTCTATCCAACTCACTCCTTGCTTTTACATGTGTTTGTGTAGAACAACTGGAGTGTAGGCCAGAGGTGTAGAGGGTGAGAGGATTTACTAGAGACAGAGTGGAGGAGCAGAACAGGCAGATTTACTAACATACACTGCTAAAGAGAGCAGTGGGCAAGACAGGAGAGGTCTGCTGTGGCATATGTAGGTTAGCACCCTGTCGGGGGATAGAACTCAGGCTGTCGCAGTGAAAGCTCTGAGACTTAACCCCTAGGCCACAGGAGAGGCCCCACCTCTTGCTTTCTGATGAGCCCTGTGCCTCACTTGTGCGTCAACAAGAAAGAGAAGCCACTGGCTGTCAGTAATCTCCTTCCCCCTAAATTTTTAGTCCTGGCAGAATCCAAGTCCTGGATTTATGCACTGGATGGAGCTCATGCCCTCCTGAGATCTGTCCTCTGTCAGCATCCTTGCTGCTTCCTGCATTATCACCTATCCCACCCTGATGAAGCATTTTCATTAATAAACAGTATGCTCTAGCATCTCCATTCTCAAAAAGTCCTCCTTAACACCCTCTCCCATTTCCCTCCAGCAATGATCCTGTTTCTTAGCTCCCACCTTGGTGATCATTGTCCACCTCCTTGGCTTACTCACAGCTGGCTTTTGCCCCTACTCCTAGGGTGGGCTTTCTAAAACTGTTGTGCTTTCTGGTACCTCTAGCCCATGACCTCTTCCTGACTAAAGTACCTTTGTTCTGGGGTTCAGGAACACACGCTCTCTGGCTTTCCCTAGCATTGGCTCCTTCTTGGCCTCCTTCACTAGGGTTCTTGCTGGACCCTAAATATTGATGCGCTCCTGGGTCATTTCTGGAACTCTTTGTTCTATCATACTCAGCTCTACTGACACAGCTTTAAATACCATCCTATGGCAACCCCAAATCAACATCAACTCTCCCTGAGATTAAGACTCACATAATTAAGCCACTGTCTTGATGTCTCAACTTGAATGTCCAGTAGACATCTCAGATTCACAATTCTTGATCTGTCCCTTCTAATTCTATTCCACTCCTTATTCTACCTACAACAGTTGCTCAGGGAACCAACTATGAGATGTACTTCATTCATTTCTCACCATTACAACCAAGCAGTCACATTGCTTTACTTCCAAAATACATCCATGCCTGGCCATCCAGCCACTTTGCTCCCAATACTCTGCCCCACATGAGTTTAGGATACCATTATCTGTATGGTTACTGTCCTTGTTTCCTTGCTTCCATTCTTGATTTATAATCTCTACATGGCAGCTAGATAAAACTTTTCAAAATATTCTTTAAAACTACTTATTAAGCTGGGAATCAATGCCAAATGACTCAGTGGCTTGCAAGGTCCTACTTAGCTCTTCACATGTCTCTTCCTTCCTCTTGATCAAGTTCTTGTGACTTTGACTTCCTTTCTGCTTGACAACATACCTCACTCCTATGTATATTGGGAAAGGGATGAAAGTGGAGACACAAGAGGATGAAGAATGGGCAGGGCATAATGACTGATAGTGTTCACAGAAAAAGGGTGTATGAAAAGGGACTTTGCCAGAATGGAGAGCTGAGTCTTAGTTCACTCACCATGGCGAAGAGGTTGTCATAGCCTTTGACTTTGGTAGGCACCTTGGAGAACTTCTGGTCAAAAGCATCTGAGATGTTGTGGGCTGGGTCTGTGGAGATGATAAGAACACTCTCCCGCCCCTTAGATAGTTGGACAGCTAGACTGCAGCTAGGTAAAGAAAAGTTAAAAGGTGGGGAGAGAGGAGACAGATTCAGTTCCAAGGGGCCCAGGAACAGGAGACTAGGATCCGTAGGGGCTTGAAAGGAGATTATGGGTGGTTACTGAGCAAGTCTCAATCCCTGCACAGGGACTCTTTCAGACTTCACCTACAGACTCTTCTAGTACACTAGAGTGGTATGATTCAGCTGCTTGAGTTGATCTGGCCTGAAGCTTCTTTGTTCTTTGCTGGTAAAAGGGGTCTAGTGCAGTCAGCATGGCTTGATCCAGTGCTTCCTCCCTCAAGGCTAAGTCCACTGTGCAAGATAATTTATTTGCCCGGGACTCCTTCACCCTCCTCCCAGTTGGTTAAGACAGTCTGATAAAGTGCCCTCTCCTCCCATCCCCACCCCGTCGCCTGGCATTGAATGGTAAGGATCAAAAGGATCAAAAACTCATAGAGTTTGCTCCGTTGCTCTTCCTCCTAACCTGAGCATTCTAGTATAAACCAGCCGCTAGGGAAATTTCAGTGGCCTCCCTTCGCCAACCCCCCCCCCCCATGCTGGGCTCACTATGGTTCGCCCCTGGAATCCCCGTGGAGATAGTTCAAATATATTGTGCCGGGCCTGTATTATGGAAGTATCTTCCATTTGTTGCAGGTTACTTCCCAGCCTGGCAGTCCTGGGCTCAGTCCTCTTGCCGGGCCCGGGTGGAAGAGCTGGTTCCTGACCTCCCCTTCGTCCGGTGGTACATCCCACCCGTCTTCCAGGCCCCAGCCTACTTACCTGCAGGTGGTCTTGCCAACGCCACCCTTGCCCCCGACAAAGATCCACTTAAGGCTGCGCTGCTCGATTATGTTGCTAAGCGTGGGCTCCAGCGGCTCCACATCAGGAGCATCCTCGAACTCGTCTGCCTCAACCCCCCACCCGGCCACCCCAGCCGCCATCTTGGTACCGGCTCACGTGATACAGCGGATCACACCATTCAAAGCACCTACAGGGGAAATTCTCAATGACAGCCTTATCAAGGCTAGACGCTTGCATTAATTTCTTCGTGGCCTGAATTTTAGTCGATATTAGAGCTTTCTTTCCATTGTCACCCCCTTTTAACGTTTACCTTATGGACCTCATGTCTATATATCTTCAATGATTCCCCCCGCCTAATAAACCTATTGGTACGTTCCAAGATGACTTCCCTTCACGGATTGGGCCCTAAATCGTGCAGCATTCCTGGCATTGGCTACATCTTTTATACTTTCACCAATCACTCTCACATTCGGATAGCCTCCAACCTCGTCTTAGCAACCAGCCAAACACCCGGTACATGCCCTTTCTGTGAAGTTAAATCGTAGGGTTTCTCTGGCTTGACTCCGTGGGCTCAACTTCATGTCGATTGTTTACTAATACTTTAAACTGGGTCCCAATATCGCCTCAGGACTGTTATCCAATTGGCTACGAGCCATCTGGCTCTTAAGGAAAACCAATCAGAGACGAATAGATCAATTAGCTAGAGACAGTTTCCTGGGCGTTTAGGTTAAAGGGAGAACGATTTCAGTTGTGAAAAAGTCCACAAATCCTCGTCCAGTGCACCCTGAGGCCCTGGGCGGGGTAGTGATCACACCTGCAACTGTACTCTTTGTGTCATAGAAAGGACTCTCTTTCTGAAAACTTGTACTTTGATGTTCCCTGTTGAATCTCTGCCCTGGGCAGAGATGTAAACTGGGACTAGTACGCCTCTGACGGACATTTTTTACCTTAAAAGGGAGATTCATCCTAGGAACTCCTCGAGCTTCATTTGATTACTCCAGTCCACTAAATACCCTCATTTTCAGATGAGGGCCCCAATTCCACTGATCAGTTGGGTCCTCATTCCTAAATGAGACTCTATCCCAGCAACAGGTACCCAATTTAGAAATACTTCAATATCTAGGCAAAATGGAGATACACCCTCTATACAAAACTAGATAGACCTTCTAGCTCTAGTTAGGGACCTAGGTTCCGGGGTATCACCTGTATACACAGCCTTAGACAGGGTCTCATAGAGATTATCTCTAGTCTCTGAAGGGGTTTCTAATCCCGGAACTTTACGGTACCCCCAGTTCCCGGCTACGGACGGAGTGAGTCCCTGGCCCAGACGATATCCCCTCCTGTTCCCGGGGAGACCTTGTCTGAGTAAAATCTGCTGCAATCTAGCACATTAAAGAGAAGTCTTTGGGACGGGGCCCAGGTCCTCCAGCCCACCAGCTATTCCGCGGTTTCAGGTCATAACACTACTTTGCCGCGTTTCTCGGGCCCCGCCCCCACTGCGGAAGCTAGTGGACCAGACTGCTCTTCCCGGCATGCATTGCCCGGGACCAGCTAAGTCGGGCGCCAAGCGCGGGGCCGGAGAGGCCTTCCCGGAATCCTTTGCGCGGCACCTGGTGACAAAATGGCTGCCCGAGGGAGACGGGCGGAGCCTCCGGGTCGGGAGGCGCCGGGCCCTGCGGGCGGCGGCGGCAGCGGGAGTCGATGGGCTGAGTTGGGCCCTGGGACGTCGCCCGAGAGCGGGGACGAGGAAGTGTCGGGAGCGGGTTCGAGCCCGGTATCGGGCGGCGTGAACTTGTTCGCCAACGATGGCAGCTTCCTGGAGCTGTTCAAGCGGAAGATGGAGGAGGAGCAGCGGCAGCGGCAGGAAGAGCCGCCCCCGGGCCTGCCGCGACCCGATCAGCCGGCAGCCGCAGCGGGCCCCGGGGATCCGAAGAGGAAGGGCGGCCCGGGCTCCACGCTCAGCTTCGTAAGGAGCCGCGGGGGTGGGGGCGGGTGCCAGGGCCTACCTTGGCTGGGGGAATCGGGGCACCAGAAAGAGGATCGGGATACAGGTTCACCCTCCCGTCCCGATGAAGGGTTCATTTGGATTACCCACTGAGGATGCGAAATCTGGATTCCTGACGAGAGGTCTGGGGCGGAGGTGGGGATCCTCAGAACCTATCCTCGGGAACCGAGGAGTTGCATTGGGATGGGGAGCCCCCGGGATGGGGAAAACAGTATACCAGGATTCATGTGTGGGTGGTAACTCTAACTTTGGATACTGGAATCATCTTTCAGTATGAGTGTGGAGGTGGGGTGCGGGGTGGTGGCAAATTAACTCTGGAATCTGAATCGTTTACTGAGTGACCTTAGGAGAATAGAGCATGACTTAAGTTTTATTCGTCTGGTGTTCTTTTACTGAGCCCCTTACCTTGTGCTAGCATGTACTAGGTGGTGCTGGATGTGCCATGGTGAACATGACAGACAAGATCTTGGAGCCTCTAGTGTGTCCTACCCCTATTTTCCCTATTTGCAAAAACGTACACATCACCTCTGTGATGAGGGTTCAGAATGGCAATCCTGGAAAACTGGTTAATAGCAGGAAGCCTGCCTTATGGAAAGGACTAAACCAATAGTTCTTAATTGGTGAGGATTACTTAACACCTACATTTGACAAAACCTGTAGACATTTTTAGTTGTCAGAACTATGAGTAGATAACTATGAGTAGAGATGCTGCTTAATATCCTACAATGCACAGGAGATGGAGAGTGTACCTTTTGGGGGGAGGTAGAGCACTTCACCCTAGCAAAGAATATTCTAGCTCAAAATGTCATTTGTGTGAGATGGAGAAATTCTAGGTTAAACAAATGGCACCTATATTGATGTTCAGCTCTGAGCTTGCTCTGGTGTTGAGATCACGTCTCTGGTTTGGAGAAAACAGTGTTGACTTGAGAATAACTGATTAGGGGTCAATTTCCTGGTGTGTTAAAAATGAATGAAAATAGCCCCACCACCTCAGATCACTCAATGCCTGGCTTTGGGGTAGAGATGGGATGTTGGTAAAGCTTGTTGCAGCCCTAGAGACAGGAAACCCTAGGTCAGTAGAAAAAGATGGATGAGTGTATGAAATTCCAGAGTAAAATTTCTGTTGGAGGAAGAAATGTGGAGATTTATTAGGCTGGTGTGAATCTTGGGGGTCGAGATCTAGTGCTCCCTTGGTGGGTGGAAGTAACAGTAATTGTCACTATCTTTTCTATTGTTCATCAAGGGGTGGTTTTGGGAACATCATCAAAGAGGCCAGTTAGGTGCAGGGGAGCCAGCATCTTTGGTGGTTAATTAAGAGTGCTGCTTAGACCTACTTGACCCTGAATTCAGCTGCTAGAATGACTGAGGGTACAGGACCTTGCCTTCTCAAATACAGTTTACTCATCTATATAAAGGAAAGTGAAAGTTGACGATATATCCAAAGCACTTGGCACAGGACATGGCATATCGTAAGTGCTCAACAAAGGGAGCTGTTGCTGCCTGTGTGGTGCCTGTTAGGAAAGGGTGAGGCTTTGGTATGGAGAGTGAGGTCAGAGTTGCTAGTCCCCATCCATGTAAGGGTTTTTTTCATTTCCTGGGAGGGCATTCCGGGGCCCAAGGACCACCTGGGCAAAGTGGGCCCAGGGCAGGTGCTAAGAGTCGCGTGTGCTCCTCTCTGATTGCTGCGCAGGTCGGCCGGCTGGCGGAGCTGGGCGTGGCGTCAGGACGGGCCACCAGGCCGGGCTAGGAAGGTGTAGTGGGCCTCAGCGCCACCAAGGGCGGGCCCGACTCCAGTAACCGTTGCAGTCTTCTGTCCCTTCACCCAGGTGGGCAAGCGCAGAGGCGGGAACAAGCTAGCCCTCAAGACGGGAATAGTAGCCAAGAAGCAGAAGACGGAGGATGAGGTGAGCAGGCTGGGTATGGGGGGGGGGGTCATCCCTTACAACCTCTGTGTCTGACCATCCAGCCTTGCCCCTCCCTGTCCAGCATCCAGGCCTTGTATGGGTGTACTGGGTGGGAGAGGAGGGCTTTCAACAGCTTCCCAGTTAACTTCACTACACTGGGGTAGATCAGCTGTTTCTGGACAGTCTTGACCCAGGACCCAGCTCCTGACCTTAGCATTCCCTTCCCCACCACCTGTCTCTTTCCTTCCCCTCCCTCCCAATCTGTCACAGGTATTAACAAGTAAAGGTGATGCGTGGGCCAAGTACATGGCAGAAGTGAAAAAGTACAAAGCCCACCAGTGCGGCGATGATGATAAAACTCGGCCCCTGGTGAAATGACCCCCTTTCCCCGCCTGCCCATGGTCTGGGACTCTCTGCGATGTACATAACTATTTAATGCAGCGGCGGCGGTAGTGGTGGCAGCGGCAGCAGCAGCAGCAGCAGCAGCAGCAGCAGCAGCAGCAGCAGCAGCAGCAGCAGCAGCAGCAGCCTTGCCCCCCAAGGACTTATATACAGAAGGAAACTGAGATGCTTTCCGCGGCTGCGGACAATTCTCCAGGACTCTTTTTTACCTGAGCACTTGCCTCCTGAGACTTCATAGAACAGTGGTTTACTGTCCCTATCTTCCCACCTTTTTGCTCCCTCTGGCTCTTTTCTGTCTCCCTATTCTCACCTCCCCTCCATTCCGCCATCACTTCTGGGAAGTAAAGAACTTGACTTAGTGCCGGAGCTGTGTGCTTGGTTTGCTTCTTTGCTCTATCCAGCCTGAGCCCTTCCCAGTTGCTGGACTATATCCATCAAAGCCTGGGCTTGGCCTGGTGAGGGTTGGCATTTGGAGGCATGGGGACAGGGTTACATTCTCTCCTTTGGAGGTCCTCAAGCCTCATCTACCCCCATCCCTGACTACAATTCCCTATTTCTCATGTTTAGTTTATCTTCACAGTCACATTTTGGCTGGGCCAAAAGAGTAGATACTGTTCCCTCAGCAGAAACTTACTGAGCACCTGTTATGTGCCTATGTAGCCATAGGCCTGCAACAACAGAACAGGCCAGCTCCCTTGTCCTGGTAAAAGAAAGACAGAAAAGGGAAAGCCATTGGGGAGGTGACTATTAAGAAATATAGTATAAAGGCTGTGGAGACAAGGGTTTTTTTACTGACATTGGATTGGAATCCTAAGGGAGGTAGACTATGTAAACAAAGGTGGAAGATGGCCTTCCCTGGTGGTACAGTGGGTTAAAGTGTGGCACTATGAGTTTGATCCCTGGGCAGGGAGGGGACTACATGGCGTGGCAGACCTCCTGCTGCTCTCCACAGCAGTGTATTTCAGTAGGTCCACTTGTTCTATTCTCTGCTCTGTCTCAGGTGAATCCTCTCACCTCCTGCACCTCTGGCTTGTACCCCAGTTCTTGCATGCATAAATAAAGCTTAAAAAAATAAAGGTGGGGTCCTCCCTGGTGGCGCAGAGGTTTGAAACACAGCACTAAGAAGCTAAAGTCACAGCATGAGTTCGGTCCTGCCCCGTAGGTGATCCACATGGCACAGCAGACCTCTCCTGACCCGCCCGCTGCTCCCCTCAACAGTGTACTTTGTCAGTTGGCCTGTTCTGCTCCCCAATCTTTCTCTGGTGAATTCTCTCACCGTCCCTGCACCTCTGGCCTATACCCCAGTTCTGTATGCATAAATACATCTTAAAAAAAAAAAACAATAAAGGTGGGAGAGTAACCTGACTCTCATGGGGAGCCTTTTTTTTTTGTTTTAAAGATTTATTCTTATTTATGCATACAAGTACTGGAGTGAGAGAATTCACCAGAGACAAGAGTGGGGCAGAGGACAGGTGGATCTTCTGAAAAATACTGTTGAGGGGAGCAGTAGGATGAGACTGGAAAGCTCTGGTGTGCCATGTGGGTTAGCTCCCTGTGCCACTAGGGAGGCCTTAATGGGAAGCTTTGAAGGGGCCCATATGACTGGGCTAGAGCCCAGGAGTGAGGACTGTGGAGGCCTTGTGGCTAAGATGAAAATTTTAGACTTTATTTTTATAAAGTTAGAAGAATTTGAGAGGTGGGAAGGGGGTTGAGTTAAGTAGCAACTACTGGATTTTTTTTTTTTTTTTTAAAGATTTATTTATTTGTACATACAGAACTGGGGTACAGGCCAGAAGCTCAGGGGCGGCGAGAGGCTTCACCAGAGACAGAGTGGGGAACAGAACAGGGAGATCGATGAAGTACACTGCTGAGGGGAGCAGCGGGCGGGTCAGGAGAGGTCTGCCACGCCATGTGGTCACCTCCAGGGCAGGCGGGAATCGAACTCATGCGGAAGCGGTTTTTTAGATTCTCAGTGCTGTGCTTTAACCCGCTGCGCCACCAGGGAGGGCCACTACTGGATTTTTTATCTTAAGATGTCTCTGAAGGGAAAGTGGGACATCTGGGCTATCATGGAAGGGGGAAGGAGTAGCATCTGGACTTCAGTGGGTTGTACTGTATCAGGGTAACTGCAGTCCTTTCAGGGAGGCTGCAAGGGAACTGTTTGTGTCATGCAGAATGTGACATGTTAGGGTAACAGGGTGTCCTAGGAAGCTGGACTGCCTTAGTTCCCTCTAGTGCTCATAGCACTTCTGTGCCCTCTTAACCTCACTGCTCATTCTGGTTAAGCCCACAAATGTTTAGAGACACCCTTGCTTCCTGACCCCTTTTGAGCCTGCTGGACATAGAGTAACATCTTGGTCCCCCAGCCATGGACCCATTTCCCAGGCCTTTCCAAATGGGACTGCTGAGCAGCTTGGCATTCTCACACACCTCAGGATCAGTTTCCCTTCCTGCTCTCATCAGTGGATGACTGTGAAAGAATCTCTAAGCAGCATACCTGGAACCTGTAGAGGTTCAGACAACTGTGGTCCTGGAAGAGGCTTGAGGTGGCATTGGTCTGATCTCTCAAACTTGACCAGACCCACCCTGGGGTGGAGGTGGGGTGGTAGGGAGGGTTGGGGTAGGGCCTTCCAATTCCGAGCATCAAAACAAACTCCTTGTCCTAATGGAGATGACAGACAAATCAGGACATACCAGGTAGTTTACCTGCTGTGAGGGGAAAAGTATGAAAGTATGATCAGGATGGAAGAGATGACAATTTAAGTTGATCAGAGTTGGCTTCCCCAAAGTGATAATTTATTCTAAGTCCTGAAGGAGACACGGCACAGTGAAGATGGTCTAAAGTGTTACAGGCAGAAGAACAGCAAGTGCAAAGACCCTGAGCTGAAACCAGTAAGTAGACTTTGGGATGGGATATCTAATCCCATCATGCTTCCTAAATACAATACTCATTTGTTTTCCACAAATTAGCTGAAATATCTCTTCTACTTTGGGGATGTTGAGCTGGTCCAGGTGTGACTTTAGCCTTGGGGTTAGAGTATTAGGGTGGGACATAAGAAGCCAATGGAACCTTACTATCTCTTTCAGCTGTCAGCAGCATACACTGGATCTTTAAAAAGAAATACAAGTGAGAGAAGTAGGTCGTCCTGCAGCAGCTTAGCCTGTATTCTGGAGTCTGGAAGCAGGAGGAGCTGATGGATTCTTGGCACCTCCCTTCACTGCCCGCAAAATCTAAAGGAGAATCAAACTCAGATTTTGATGAGTCCCATAGCCCTGACTTCAAACTATTCTGTTATGTGATCTTGGGTGAGCCTTTTTGTGGCTCAGGTCTCCAACTATATAATAGGGGTAAAACAGAACTATCTCTAGATACCTTTTAAAAAAGATTTTATTTATTTATGCATACAGAACTTGGTACAGGCCAGAGGTGCAGGATACCTGAGAGAGCTCACCAAAGATGGAGTGGGGAGCAGAACAGGCAGATCGGTAAAGTACACTGCTGAGGTGAGCAGTGGCAGGTCAGGAAAGGTCTGCTGTACCATGTGGATCACCTCCAGGGCGGGGATCTAACTCCATTGAAGTGTTTCTGCCAACTTAGTGCTGCGCTCCAATCTGCTACACCACCAGGGAGGGCCCTCTATATTTTAAAGTAGGAGCAATGTTTAATCAAGTTAACTTTGCCATTGTTTGAAATAACTGTCATTGCTTTTCTGGATGAAACAGTTGTGTTGTGTTAGGGGCTGACTTTGAGACATGCTGACCTTTAAATATCTGAGTATAGTGTGTTGAGAGGCCCAGGCAAGAGGCTATTGTAAACAAAGGCATTAGTTTCCTATTTCAGATTCACAGTTGGGTAATAACTCCTTGAGTTTGTTTTCTGCCCTAAATACTTCTAGTTGAACGAAGTAAATTTGATTTTGTGCACAGGTCTATTATGAGAATTACATTAGAAAACCCTTTCAAGGCAGTAGAGCTTAAGAAATTGGGGGTAGCCCTACAATTGGAAAGACATGGAAGTAGTCCAAATGCCCAAAAGTAGATGACTGGATTAAAAAGATGTGGTACATATACATAATGGAATATTACTCAGCAACAACAACAAAAAAAAAACACATATCTTTTGCAGCAACATGGGTGGAGCTGGAAAAGATCATTCTTAGTGAGATAAGCCAGAAAGAAAAAGAAAAATATTGGATGGTTTCACTCACAGCAGGAGTATAATGGACCGGGCGAGAAAATAATAATAATGAACAGCCATATACCAGAGACATTTTTTTTTTTTAAAGATTTATTTATGCATACAGAACTGGGGTACAGGCCAGAGGCTCGGGGCGGTGGGAGGCTTCACCAGAGACAGAGTGGGGAGCAGAACAGGCAGATCGACGAAGTACACTGCTGAGGGGAGCAGCGGGTGGGTCAGGAGAGGTCTGCCACACCATGTGGTCACCTCCGGGGCAGGTGGGAATCGAACTCATGCGGAAGTGGCTTTAGCTTCTCAGTGCAGTGCTTTAACCCGCTGCGCCACCAGGGAGGGCCCATACCAGAGACATTTTATGGGGGTGGAGTGGGAAGTGGGATCAAAAGCAGTGGGGGGAGGGAAGTACGCTGGACTATGGTGATGGCACATGGGTGACTTGGTGATGGGAAACCCACCGGGATTACAATTGAGATAAAAAAAAAAAGTACAAAATGATGTAAAAATAAACATGTTATTAAAAAAAAAAGAAATTGGGGGTGGGTGGGTGGAAGGGGGCTGTTTCCCTATTCAACACTAAAATCCACAAATTGGTGAGAAAGTCTTCTGTGACCCATGAGGGCATATATAGGCACATTCTGCCCCGACTCCTCTCTTCCCCAGGCTTGGGCAGGGCTGTGGGAAACGTGATCTACTAATAGTTAGGTGAGCATTAAATTCACTCCATCATCTCCTACTCGCTCCTCAGCTTATCTTTATCTGGGCAGTCCTCAACCCTGCACAAAAAACTCCCACCCTTTACACCTCAGCCTGGAACCCTTAATGCCCAGCTCAGCCCTTGACCGCTGCCTTCTCAGTCTCCCGCGAAAGACTGTGGACGCCACACACCGGATTTGGATCTCAGCGAGCATCGCGACGCCAGAGCACTGCTGGATGGGATTTGTAGTTCCAGACCTCTGTGCGCGAGCGAAGGCCACTGCGCATGCGTGGGCAGCAACTTTACGCGTTTGCTTCCGAAGCCAGGTTTCAGTCCTGTCCCAGGAGCTAAGGTGGGAGTCCCAGGTGTGCTCTTCAGAACTCGGGGTGGAATTTAGTGCTAGCTAGCCCTCCCATATCTCGGCTAGTGCCCCGTAAGAGAACTGATTTTCGTGAATGAATGGAGGAGGTAATATTTGGCCACGGGAGGTGGGCTGAGAAGCCTGTTTTCCCCACTTCCGACTGGGGCAAGAAGTGACTTTTTTTACTCCAGTTGATTCAGTAAGTAATGGTATAGTGAAGGGATGGCCTTATTGGGTAAAAGCCACATTTTAAAAGAATATGCTTAACTGGTGTTATCTCTAACTCAAAAAGTACTCTTAGATCCTGCTGATAAATGGAGAACTAAAGTTTGGAGTGGTAGGCCACTCACCTGTCAGCAGGACTGGGAGGGGGGAAAAACGGAAGTGCTCCCAGGTCCCCGGCGCCTCCCTGCTCCACTGTTCTGCTCTTGAGAGATGTACTACTTTGTCCTCAAGCGGCCCAAGGATCATGACTATGTCTTTCTTCATGACTGCCCTTGCCTACTTAAATTTTCTGGGTTGTTACACCTCAATAAGCTTCAGGTAGGCAAAGGATTAGCTCTTTTGCTCCAGTATCTACTTCATTAGTTAATTTCGTTAAAAAAATTACATTGTGTTTTTCTGTACGCTTCGCGAATTTGCATGTCATCCTTCTTTGCACAGAGGCTATGCTAATCTGTAACATTCCAATTTTAGTATATGTGCTGTCAAAGCGAGCACTCTTGTGGGTTTTTCATATCCTTCTGACAACTGTCAAATAGTACTGGAAAAGAAATGTGGGGAAATGTGGTAGAGGCTTCTGGAACCTAACCTATCAGGCATTCATTTTGTCTGGCTTTCCTCGTTTTGTCTCTGGGGGAGAAGTTCACCTCACACTCAGTCTACCTTCCATTTGCACACATACTGTACTCCTAATTACCCTCTGAATGGGGTTAGGGAGACAGCTAGGAGACATCGACAAAGGCGCATCTGGTTCTGGCTGGGCGTTCCCCAAAACATCACACACTCAAAAGTCCCCACGAACCACCAAACGCCTATGTCTCAACGAAGAGCTGCAGTCAGGTCGGAGAGAGGCTGAGAAAACGAGATGCTGGGAGGACTGGCCGGCTAGAAAGGCCAAGAGAGTCCGCCACCTCTTCGGTCACGTGATCCGGTATTGGCGGGGCCAGACTCTCCACCTTGCCAGGCCACGTGCGATGGTTGTTCCTTCTAATTGGCTCCGCTGGGTGAGTTTGAACGGTATACGGAAGCCGCGGCGGCTCATCTACGGCCGCGTTTCTTTCTTTCTTTAGGGTTTTTTTTTTCTTTTTTTTTTTTTTTTTTTTTTTTTTTTTACCCAATTCCCTCTCTTTGGCTCCCTCCTTCCGCGCGAGTCTCTGGAGAAGCCACATCGCAAGGAGCCGCTGCTGCCGCTCGGGGCTGGGTAGGTGGGCCTTAGCCTTACCAGGAGCTCGACTAGCTTGGCCCGGACTTGCGTCCACTGGTGCTGGGCTCCCGACCTGCGCCGTGCGTGGTCGGGGCGTCTGGACAGTGTCAGACCGGGAAAGGCCGAGAACCCGTTTGGGCCCCCGATTCGCGAGGCATAGAGAACCGGCCGGCGCGGGGGAGGGGGAAATTAGCCATCCTGAGGGGGGTGGGGTGGGGCCTCGGAGCTTGGTGGGGTCTGGGTGCCGCGAGAGTTGGGCCAGCGGGGCGGCTGGGGTTGGGCTGAAGGGGATCTGATTGGGGGAAGCGTCCGGGGACTGTTTAGGGCCTGATGGGGGAACGTCTCGAGTAACGGGTGTGTGAGTGTGGCGTTTTTAGAGGGGCTTGGATGGGTCTGATTGGGGGAGTCTGTGTTGAAAAGTTGGGGTGGGGGCTTGTTATGCTCTGGTAGGGAGGGGCATCAGGTTTCGGCCTAGAGGGCTTTGCCGGTATCCGTTGGGGGTAATAATGAGTGGGTCGGGGGGAGGGGGCTTGGCCAGGGCTAATTGGGAGAAACTGCAGAGATAGAACGAAGGGGGGTTACGGCGACAGGCGGTGGATGGTTTGACCGAACTTAATTGGGGGAAGAGGAGAGTTCCTGCGTCTGGGGAGGAGAGAGGAAAGGTTGGCCGGACCATATTGGGGAAAGCAAGGGACACGTCTAGGGGGCTTCTGTTCTAAGGTGAGAGCACTTGGTTTGCTCTCATTCGAAAAGGACCTGTCTAGGGACTCCATCGGCCTGATTAAGAGGACTCCCATTCTGGACGAGTCTTGCAGGCCAGAAAGGAGGGAGACGGGTATCCCGCTGAGCTTGGAGGGCCCGTTTAGCGAATGGAGTGCCTTGGGCAGTGCACCTGGGGAGACTCGGTACTTAAAAGAGACAGTGATCTGATGGAACTTGAGGACTAAATTTCGAGAGAAGGGAGATCTTTAAGGGAGATCTTTGGGTTTCGTGCAAGCATCGAAGAGGCAACAGGGGTCCCGGGACTATCATGGTCTCAGGATTGGAAATGGCTTCAAGGGAAGCAGAAACCCTCAGACCCCAGGCCTGGAGAGACAGAATGGGCTTTGGTGGTAGAAAAGCTTGGTGCTGGGTCAGATGAGGATCCGCTGGGTCCTACCACCCCCTTCCATGGCATGCTTCCACAACCCCCTGTTCGAGACCCCAATACCCAGGCTGGCACAACTGGTGGGCACCTGGCATTTGGGCAGGTGTGGATCGGCGGCTGCTGCCTGTTCGCTGTGAGCACCCCAGTCTTTGGTCTCTGCTTCCACCTCCATGGGGTCTAAACCCAAGTCTCACGTGCAGACCCTGGGACCCAGTGCTGACAACGGCTCCTACCCCCACAGCTCACCTTGCACCATGGACTGGCAGCCAGATGAGCAGGGCCTGCAGCAGGTCCTGCAGCTGCTCAAAGACTCGCAGTCACCCAACACAGCTACCCAGCGCATCGTGCAGGATGTATCCATCCTTCCTTCCTTCCGGGGCTGGGGGAACCCTACATACATCTGCAGCCCCTGAAAACCCAAGAGGGAGGGGCCGGCTCACTTATCCCCAGACTCTACAGTCTAGATGAACTGGCCTAACAGGATTAGAATTCTTGGGTCTTTTTCCTAAGGAAGTGAGGCCCTGCAGGAAATTGACTGGCACTGGGGCTTTGTTTAGGTTTCATATTTAAATTTTTAAAAATTGTTTAAAACAAGTTAACCTTTAGAAGTAATTAAAACATTAGCAAGTTTTGCTTGAAAATGTGGATTCCCTCTTTCAAAAAGCAAGAAATTTTGGACTGCTAGTGGTAGAATTAAGTAGCAGCTGCCACTTGGGTGTGTTGACCCTCTCCTGCTCTGACCAGGTCTTCAGGAGCTGTGGAAAGCCCATCACCCCTTCGCAGCCCACCAGTGAATTTGATGTGCTGGGGGAATACAGTGTTGTTTTGTTCATGATGGTTGACAGGCAGGTTTAGGGGAGCTAGGCTGCAGGCTCCTAGTAATCAGAAATGCTGTCAACCATAGGATGTTGCTAGGGTGAGGGGAGGACCCATCTGGGGATGTCCCTGTCTCCCAAGTCCCTTAACAACCTCACAGAAACTCAAACAACTGAACCAGTTTCCAGACTTCAACAACTACCTGATCTTCGTCTTGACCAGACTCAAGTCAGAAGGTACGCCCTCCGTGCCCCTCCATGCAGACTGGACCCTACTTTTTTCCTCATTGTCCCCTGAGCATTAGCCCTCTTCCCCCAGATGAGCCGACTCGCTCACTCAGTGGCCTCATCCTCAAGAACAACGTGAAGGCACATTACCAGAGCTTTCCGCCACCGGTGGCTGACTTCATCAAACAGGAATGTCTCAACAACATTGGTGATGCCTCCTCGCTCATCCGAGCCACCATAGGTGAGGGGGGACAGTGGAGGGTAGCCTGTGATGATTCATTAAGAACTCATTCTTGACCTAGAAAGCTTCTCAGCCACCTTCTCAACTAGCACAAATATGCCCACACTGGGCAGTAGTCCTATTACTGTTGCCATTTTACAGATGAGGAAACTGAGATGCAGCAATATTAAGGGACTTGTTTGGTAAGTAGTAGAGCTCAAAAGTGGCCAGTGAATATGCAATCCCCATCTCCCCCAATAGCCATCTTTACTTATGACACTGGCACTCAGTGTTTAGAATTGAATGCTAAGAATGAAAGCAGAAGGTATCATAGGTTACAATTCTTGCCAATAGTGATTTAGATGAAACATATATAAAGTTTTCTTTGAGGCCTCCCTGTGGCCTATATATTAAGTCTTGTTGCTATCACTGCTGTAGTCTGAGTTCTGTCCCAGCCAGGGAGGTGACCCACATGGTACAGCAGAGCTCTCCTATCTTGCCTTCTGCTCCCCTTAGCACTGTATTTCAGTAGATCCACCTGTTTTCTCCATTTGGTCTCTGGTGGATCCCCTCAACCTCTACCCCCTATACTTCTGGCCTACAGTTCAATTCTTTTATGCAAAAATAAATAAATAAATAAGTTTTCCTTGGTGTCTTCCTGACTCCAGAAGTTACAGAAGGATGACCAAGAATTTCTTCTTTTTTTTTAAAGATTTATTTATGGGCCCACCCTGGTGGTGCAGTGGGTTAGGACGCAGCATTGCAAGCTAATCACAGCCGCTTCAGTGTGAGTTTGATCCTGAGCCTGGGAACTGACCCACATGGTGCAGCAGTCTTCTCCTGCTTCACCCACTGCTCCTCCCAGCAGTGTACTTATTCTATCTGCCTGTTCTGCTCCCCACTCTGTCTCTAGTGAATCTTCTCACTGCCCCTGAACCCCTGGCCTGTACAGGGTACAGGCCAGAGGTGTGGTGGGTGAGAGGATTCACCAGAGACTGTGGGGAACAGAACAGGCAGACCTACTGAAACACATTGCTGAGGGGAGCAGCAGGCGAGTCAGGAGAGGTCTGCCGTGCCATTGTGGGTCAGTTGCCTGGCTAGGGATGAACTCATGTTGCAGTGGCTAGCAAGAGCTTCATAGTACTGCGCTTGAACTTGTTGCACCATCAGGGAAGACCCTGACCAGGAATTTAAAACAATTTTCCCTTCAGCATTTTCATTGCTGATAAAAACACCAACCCTATTTCTTCCAACTTAAAATTTGAGAGATAATTGACTTACTTTTTTTCCTGTGTCAACTTTCAAAAGGGAATTGTGTAACAATGGAAAGACAGATTTGTTTGCCCTAAGTGGAAGGTAAAGACATGTAATAAAGCAAGAAAACAGGGTTAAATTTGAACTAAATGTTGAGAACTGTAGTGTTGATGAGGCCCTGCTGCCTGTGTTAAAAGTGAACTTTACCAGGTCTTCCCTGGTGATGCAAGGGGTTGAAGTCTCAATGCTCAGTCACCAGCCACTGCAGCATGAGTTTGATCGCAGCCAGGCAGCTAACCCACATGGCACAGCAGATATCTCTTGACTCACTTGCTGCTCCCCTCAGCAATGTATTTCAGTAGATCTGTCTGTTCTCTTCCCCACTCTGTCTCAGGTGAATCCTGTCACCCCCTCCCAAAACCTCTGACCTACACTCCCATTCTTGTACGTATAAATAAATAAAATAAATCTTAAAAAAATAAAGTGAGGGCCCTTCTGGGGTGTAACAGGTTAAAGCACAGCACTACAAAGCTGTCCACAGCTGCTTCAGCAAAAGTTCCATCCTCAGCCCAGGAGCTGACCCACATAGAGAGCAGATCTCTTCTGTCTTGCCCACTGCTCCCCACAGCAGTGTACTTGATTGATTTGCCTGTTTGTTCCCTACTCTGTCTCTGATGAATCCTCTCACTGCCCCTCTGGCCTGTACCTCAGTTCTGTATGCATAAATAAATAAATCTTAAAAAAAAAAAGTGAGTCTTACCTACTCCCCTTCCTTCTTAAGGCAAGTGGAAGGATTTGAACTTAACAAATTCATTCTAGGTAGTCTAGAAGCCTCTGCTGTAAGTACTTAAGTCCTTAAACTCCCTAATATCCCAGGAGGCTCCTTTATCCCTACCGAGGCAAAGATGTCAAGTGATATGGCTCACAGTCACACAGACCGGGACAGCACTGGAAATGTATTTGGTCTACCCACTGTAGGGATCACTTTTGCCTGCAGTTGTGCAAGCTGGGTCTATCTGGAGTCTTGGCAATGGCAGCTTCCTCCTGGGGAACACTACTATGTTTGATACCATCTGTGTTCAACTCACCCACTAAACCATCACACTTGAGATACCTATTGCAGTTTACACTTAGATTTCTTTTTTTTTTAAAGATTTATTTATTTGTGCATACAGAACTGGGGTACAGGCCAGAGGCTCAGGGGCGGTGAGAGGCTTCACCAGAGACAGAGTGGGGAACAGAATAGGCAGATCGACGAAGTACACTGCTGAGGGGAGCAGCGAGCGGGTCAGGAGAGGTCTGCCACACCATGTGGTCACCTCCGGGGCAGGCGGGAATTGAACTCATGCCGAAGCAGCTTTAGATTCTCAGGGCTGTGCTTTAACCCACTGCGCCACCAGGGAGGGCCTACACTTAGATTTCTAATGAGCAGAATAAATCCTCTCAGAGACCATGTGGCCCTTGCCTTGCCACTTCTCTGTTCCCCTTTCCTCTATATAGCTCCATAGACCCCTCTTCCATCTGAGAGCACATCAGGCGCACTCCTGCCCCTGGATCTTTGCACCTTTTTGCCTGGGACTCTCCCTAGGGACCTAGATGGTTTCTCCCACACTTCATTCACATCTTTGCTTAGATCGCAAGGTGTTTTCTGGCAAGCCCTGATCTGGATAGTTAATTCATCAACACCTAATTAAAACTCTTCACCCACACCCTCAGCTTTTGCTAGCCTTCTTCTGTTTTATTTTCTCCCAGCTCCTAGCCTCTCAGGTCTTTATAGCCTCTCAGGTCTTTATAGTTGATTTACCTTTACCTCACAGTCTATCTTATTACTCAACTCCCAAGGGCAGGAATGTTGTGTTGTTTTCTGTATTGCATTCTATGGCCTGAAGTGAGCTGGCTGGCAAGGCTCAGAAGGTCTTAAAGGGTGTGTAGGGATTCCGTGAGGTAGTGTAGTGAGTGTGTCGCAGGGAGGTCAAGTTCCCCACATCCAAACTGAGATAGCATCCTTTTGGGTTACTCCAGGTATTCTCATCACCACCATCGCTTCTAAGGGTGAGCTACAGATGTGGCCCGAGCTGCTGCCCCAGCTGTGCAACCTGCTCAACTCGGAGGACTACAACACTTGTGAGGTAGGTGACAGGCTGGTACCCACCTGAACAAGTGAGCAGAAGCTAAGCCAGACTAGCACCCATATCTGTTTGTCTGCTCTATTTAGGGAGCCTTTGGAGCCTTGCAGAAAATCTGTGAAGACTCCTCTGAGCTTCTGGATAGTGATGCCCTCAACCGACCCCTCAACATTATGATCCCCAAGTTTCTGCAGTTCTTCAAGCACTGTAGCCCCAAGATCCGGTGGGTATGGCTTCTCAGGAGTCAGCAGTGGTCTGGAGTAGGCTAAGTGGGCAAGGTGGGTGACTTGTGTGCCTGCTCCCCATTAGGTCCCATGCCATTGCCTGTGTGAATCAGTTCATCATGGACCGGGCCCAGGCACTGATGGACAACATTGATACCTTCATTGAGGTGGGTTCCCTGGGCCATTGTGGGACAGGCAAAAGATCCAAGGCCATGCTACCACTCACCCTGTGTTCCCTACAGCACCTGTTTGCCCTGGCTGTGGATGATGACCCTGAAGTACGGAAGAATGTCTGCCGAGCCCTGGTGATGCTGTTGGAAGTGCGGATTGATCGGCTCATCCCCCACATGCACAGCATCATCCAGGTATGCATGCTGAGGCTGAGACTGAGGCTGGGAAACGGGGCAGATGGGATGCTGCCCTCAGCTGGACCAGACCTCAGTCTTTTACCCACTCTCCCTAGTACATGCTGCAGAGGACCCAGGACCATGATGAGAATGTTGCCCTTGAGGCCTGTGAATTCTGGCTGACGCTGGCCGAGCAGCCCATATGCAAGGAAGTCCTGGCTTCCCACCTGGTCCAGTGAGTGCTGCCCCTGCCTTTGGCCCATCCCAGCCTTAGCCTTCCTTTCTGGTCACCTCCTGTGTTATTTCCAGATTATGTGTCTAGCTCAGTGTGCTTTCTATCCTTGTGTGCACTTACTTTACCAAGTGCTAAGAATGTAACTTGAATGACTTAAATATTAGGCAAGAATAGTGGAATATCAGTAATAGTTCAGGCGTAGTTGGATCTGAGTACTCAAGAAATGTGAAAGGCCTGTGCCTAGTCTCAGATCTACTTCCTGTGTCAGCTTCATTTTCAGACCTGTCCTTTCTTCATGGTAGTGCTATTGCCTTCTGTAACCTTCTAGCTTGGGCAGCGCAGAGTAAAGAAGCTCTCAAGTAGTTTCGTCAGCAAAATCCCTATGGCTTACCTTCCCTGACCAACTTGGATCACTTACTTGTGGCTCTCCTTGGCTCACTCAGTGTTGGATCACTGAAGCTATGATTAGAGTTTCTGATCCCCATGTTCTTGGGCTCTAGTAGAGGGGACTGGATGCCCCAATTGATGACTCTGCTAATGTGATCCCCATCCAGGGAAGAGCTAAGTGACAAGGTCACATGTCCCTGACTTCTGGTGTAGTAGTGTCAGGCACTGTTCCCAGCTTCTCAGTGTATTAGGGGTTTGGAATTCAGTGAGTAGCCAGACTAGGTGTCAATTCTGTAATGATCATAGTAGCTAGGTTGTGGTAGAACTCTGATGGGAAATGAATGGATGCAGGACAAGCAGAATCTGACTGCTCTATAGTCTGTTGCTTGGCTTCTTAACCTCCTACCTGCATCTGTTTCCATCTCACCTGGTCTTTGAACCCCACTCTGGACCTCTGCATCCTGATGAACAGCCTCTCCCAACAGGTTGATTCCTATACTGGTAAATGGGATGAAGTACTCAGAAATTGACATCATCTTGCTGAAGGTAAGTCAAGGCCAGTGGTCAGGCTTGGGTGAGCAGGCTAGGGCCTAGGCAGACAAGCAGGTGCCTGGTGTCAGGGTAAGGGCTCTGGTGCTTTTTAATGGTGCTGAGTGTCTCTTTAACCCTCAGGGGGATGTGGAGGAGGACGAGGCAGTCCCTGACAGTGAGCAGGACATCAAACCTCGCTTTCACAAGTCTCGCACAGTGACACTGCCCCATGAGGCTGAGCGGCCTGATGGCTCTGAAGATGCTGAGGATGATGATGATGATGATGCTTTGTCCGACTGGAATCTCAGTATGTGTCTTGATCTGGGGGAGTGGTCCAAGGGAAGTAGGGGGACACCATGCCCTGGGCTGCTTCCCTCTCGTGCTAAGAAGCCTATGCAGAGCAGGTGTGAAGATGCTAATGTCTGGTTCTGGGGGTATAATTAAGGGGTGATGGCCTGCCTATGGAGCTCCCTGAGCCAGCCCTCCATCCCCTCCTGCCCCAGGAAAGTGCTCAGCAGCTGCTCTGGATGTTCTGGCCAACGTCTTCCGGGAGGAACTTCTACCCCACCTGCTCCCCCTGCTCAAAGGTCTCCTCTTCCACCCTGAGTGGGTAGTCAAGGAGTCAGGCATCCTGGTGCTGGGCGCCATTGCTGAGGGTGAGTGCCCCAAATAGCCTGAACTTTGTTGATGTAAGACTGTTGGGTTGACTCAGACAGGTCTACCTTGGGGTTCAGCTGGGCAGTTAGTGACACCATCCCTAGGTTCTCTGCAGAGGCCTATTTGTTCCCTTCTGGGGTTTGAATTTTTCCACTAAGTCCGTTGGCTAGAAAGGACCCCTGAAACTGACTAATGCGGCCCTCTTCCTTAAATCTCACAGGCAGGTATTTCTCTGATAGCATAATTATAGCTATAGCAACAGTACAGTCACTTTTGCAGTGTTTACCTGTAGTAGATAATCTGATCCTGTGGACTTAGCACAACTTGATGGGCTGGCTGGGTTTTGTAGATGGGCAAACTGAGGCTCACTGAGGTAAATCCATGGTGTAGCTGGGTTTCAAACCTGCCCCACACTGTTAGCCTGGTCTGCCAAAATCAGAAGTGGGTGGTGGTGTTACCTTAAATTTAACATGTTGTGCTAATTCTGGTGTGGTTTTCTGGTCCTTTTGTCCCCTTGGGTGAGTTTAAATCTGTTACAGTTATCACACATGACCACCTCAGCATCCAGGTCGTCATAAAAGGTGTAGAGTAGGAGCTCTTAACCTGGAGAACTTTTAAAATTGTGTTAAGGATGCATTTCTTCACATAATAGCTGACATTATAGTTGCTATGCTATGTCACACATATGCATCTATCAGTAGAGACTACATTAGGTATTCAGTGTGCTAATGGGAAAGAGCTTAAGGGATTGGTCCTAAAATGGTAAAAATAGGTCCCTGGACTTCAGTTATTGGAAATGTGTGATCATCTGTGATCTTTGAGAGTCATGTTCGTGGTTTAAAAGAAAAAAGGTGAAGGAATAAATCACAAGTATCTGAGAAGGATTTCAAAAAGAAATCACTTCCCTTTCATTGGGTCACTGCTGCCCATAAAGCCTGCCTCGCTGTGCAGCCAGGCCATCTGTCAGTGAGTGGGTGGCTGATTGATGTAACAGGTGCCTTGGAATGGCATGGATGGGAGGCGTTGGAGGGGGAGGACTTTGCCACTTACCATCCTGATCATGCCTCCCACTGGCTCTACTCTGAGTCAGTTATTTGATCTTAGAACCTCAGTTTTCCAACATGTCAGGTGCTTCATTTGATTCCTCAGCAGGGTGGGTGTAGCAGGCCCAAATGGCTCAGGTTTGCCCCTGTGCTGGTCCTTTCAGGTTGCATGCAGGGCATGGTGCCCTACCTGCCTGAGTTGATCCCACACCTCATCCAGTGCCTGTCAGACAAGAAGGCCCTGGTCCGCTCCATTGCCTGCTGGACGCTAAGCCGCTATGCCCACTGGGTGGTCAGCCAGCCGCCAGACATGCACCTCAAGCCCCTGATGACAGAGTTGCTGAAGCGCATCCTGGATGGCAACAAGAGGGTGCAGGAGGCAGCCTGCAGGTGACCCTCAACCCCTGGCTTACAGTCCCCATTTTCCTGCACTGGCTGTCCTCCGGGAAGTGATGACACTCATTTTACCCTGACTTTTGCTGATTTCTCATGTATTCGTACTGGCTGATCCCGCATATGCCTCCCTGATCCCTTCCCGCTCCCAGCCTTTCCTGCTGCTGCCTACTGAGTCCCTCTCCCCCTACCAGTGCCTTTGCCACCTTGGAGGAGGAGGCCTGCACAGAGCTGGTACCCTACCTCAGCTACATCCTGGACACCCTTGTCTTTGCCTTTGGCAAGTACCAGCACAAGAACCTTCTCATCCTCTATGATGCCATTGGTACCTTGGCTGACTCTGTGGGCCACCACCTCAACCAGCCGGTGAGACCTTTTAGAGACTCTTCCCGAACCCTATGCCCCTTGATATCCTGTGACTTGGTGTCAACCCCACAGACAATGCCACTGTCACATGCCAGAGACATGGCCATGACCTCAACAAACAGACCTAGCTTTGCTCTGAGCCAGCTCCTAGTCTAGTAGAAAAGACAGTTAGTTATGAGACAGTGTGGTAAGTGCTGTGTCAGCAGAGTTCAGGGAACTGTGGAACCAGGAGGCACTGATGGGGGTGGGAAAATGGACAGAGGATGGATGGGAAGGTCATGAATGGCAAGGATTTGCAGGGCTCTGTGGGCCACAATGAGGGGCCCAGACTGCTCAGGTGACAGGTGCCTGAGAGTCATAGAGAGACCACCTCCAACCATGGAGTCCCAACTTCCTACTCCCTTTCCAGGAATATATCCAAAAGCTGATGCCTCCACTAATCCAGAAATGGAACGAGCTCAAGGATGAAGATAAGGACCTCTTCCCTTTGCTGGAGGTAGGTGGGCTCCAGGGCCTTCTCCTATAACCCTGCCCTACCATATCTGAGTTTACCTCTCCTGCCTTCCTCCCCACCAGTGTCTGTCATCTGTGGCCACCGCCCTGCAGAGTGGCTTCCTGCCCTACTGTGAGCCTGTCTACCAGCGCTGCGTCACCCTGGTGCAGAAGACATTGGCCCAGGCCATGGTGAGCACCCACCTGACATTACCCTGCTACCCACTGTGCTGCTGCCCTGGCCTGGGTCCACTTCCCACCTGCCCACTCCTTCTGTGCCCAGATGTACACTCAGCACCCTGAGCAGTATGAGGCCCCTGACAAGGACTTCATGATTGTGGCATTGGATCTGCTCAGCGGCCTGGCGGAGGGCCTAGGTGGCCACGTGGAGCAGCTAGTGGCCCGCAGCAACATTATGACACTGCTCTTCCAGTGCATGCAGGTGGGTGGGTGCCCCTTGCAGACTTCTACTGCTCAGTGACAGCACCCAGCAGCTGGTGTAGGCCACTCTGGGGGGGACTCAGGGCCCCAAAGATCTTCAAGAAAAAAAGGGGGCCTGTGAAAAACAGCCCTTGTAGTTACTTTACAAGGTGATTCAAATAAGACATGAGTAAAATCCTTCTGAGAAATGCTGATGATGTAGAAAATAAAAGTGGAAACTGGGAAATACGAACAATAAGTCCCTTGGATGTTACCCCAGCATCATCCTTGCAAGTGTATCAAGATGTTAGCACTTATGTCTGCTCCCCTCTGCACAGTATTGAGCAGGCATTCTCGTTAGCTGAGTCCAGTATATACAGATGGAGTTGAAAGCCTTGGTGCGGAGAAGTGACAGGGTCAACTGCTAGTTGTGGGGAGGGGTACCATCCTACACTGACTGGACTCTGACTCCTCAGGATTCGATGCCTGAGGTCCGACAGAGTTCCTTCGCCCTCTTGGGAGACCTCACCAAAGCCTGCTTCATCCATGTCAAGCCCTGTATCGGTATGACACCCTGCTTATCCCTACCCCATGAACCCAACCCTGGCCTCAGGTGATGAAAAATGACCTGGATACACTGTCACTGTGACCAAACTGGGACGTATTCGTACTGTCTGATGGGGTCTGCTGGGTCAGGTCTGGGAACTCACCCTAGCTGGCTGGCCACCCTCCTCAGCACCCCTCTTTTCTCCTCACCAGCTGAGTTCATGCCCATCTTGGGCACCAACCTAAACCCTGAATTCATCTCTGTTTGCAACAATGCCACCTGGGCCATTGGTGAGATCTGCATGCAGATGGGTGAGTGCCACTCAAGTAGGGCAATTCCTAACCTGGCTTTGGCTGGGCCCTGGTGTCTTTGAGAAAGGCCCTGGATATTTTCTTCAGGGCAGGGCCCAGTGGCTAAAAGACCACTTGTCACTGACTTCTCCAAAGAGACTAGACAGAAAGCTGTTGTGATTATATTTTTGAGAATTCCCCTTTTGTTGACTAACGGTCACGCTGAGGTTGGTTGGGAGACCTTGGCTGCTTCCCCAGCCCACTTCTCACATGGATTGGGGGAGGGGAGGGCAGAGAGTGACTATATGGTCTTACCTTGGTCAGTAATTACTCAAAGTTACTAGTGCTTAAGAGGGTATGGGTTAATCTGGTTGGGTCCTGGGCTGGAGACCATCCCGAGGTTTTTTGTTTCGTTGATGTTGTGTTTGTAACCAATGTCTAGATGAAAGTGGGGGTCACCCAGTAAGGTGGGGCAGTGCCCCAGGCTGTTCCCTATGCATGATGTGGGCTCTGACTGGCTGGTCTCCCAGGGGCAGAGATGCAGCCCTATGTGCAGATGGTCCTCAACAATCTGGTGGAGATCATTAACCGGCCCAACACGCCGAAGACGCTGTTGGAAAACACAGGTGGGTGCCAGACCTTGGCTGCTGCCTGCTCTCCCCCTCTCAGACATGGGGTTCCTGGTTGGGAGGGTAGTTGAAATAAGGCCTTGGGAAAGAACCAGGGAGGGCATCTGCAAGGGGTTCTGGGAAGAGCCCAAAGAGCTGCTGGCCTTGAGAGAGTCCCAGGTGGCAGGAACTGTTCCCTTGGGCCCCATGGGGCGGGGTTGGTGCCTCACAGAGGCCCCGCCATGTACCGTCCCGGGGCCGCTCGGGGTTGCAGGTCGCCTGACGAGTTCCTCTGCCATTCCAGCCATCACCATTGGCCGCCTGGGCTACGTGTGCCCACAGGAGGTGGCACCCATGCTGCAGCAGTTCATCCGGCCTTGGTGTGTGCCTACCTCTGTGAGGCCTGCTGTACGGTGGGCCAGGCGATGGGATGGGTGGGAAAGGCCCTGATGGTTCCCTCACATGTGCCCACTACCATGCCTAGATGCATGTCCCTGCCCCACCACCTGCTTCTCCCCATGCCTTTGAGTTACATGTCCTGCCCCAGACCCACTCCCTCCCACAGTTGTCCATAGTGCTATAGCCCTGCCACTGGCTGATTCCTCAGTGTTTGCCTCCCCACAGGTGCACCTCCCTCAGGAACATCAGAGACAATGAGGAGAAGGACTCAGCCTTCCGAGGCATTTGCATGATGATAGGCGTCAACCCTGGGGGTGTTGTGCAGGTCAGGGCATTAGGGTTCTGAGGGAAGGTGCTGGGACAGGGCTGGGGCGGCCCCTCACATGGGATCCATCACGTTTCAGGACTTTATTTTCTTCTGCGATGCTGTAGCCTCCTGGGTGAGCCCGAAGGATGACCTTCGGGACATGTTTTATAAGGTAAGCTTTTGTTTATCCCATACGTAGGCTTGGCGGGTGGTGAAAGGACCCTCTCTGGAGAGGGGTGGCCATGCTCATGTTACTGTGCTGGGGTACCCCTACAACAGATTCTTCATGGTTTCAAAGACCAAGTCGGGGAGGAGAATTGGCAGCAGTTCTCGGAGCAGTTCCCACCACTGCTCAAGGAGAGGCTGGCCGCCTTCTACGGGGTCTAGAGGAGCATGGGGGACCATCAGGTGAGGGGAACTTAAGTGGGGGGAGGTGCTATAATGAGCACCAAAGGGGTGCAAGCCCTGACCCTTCCTCTCCCTACAGGTTTCTGTGTCCTCGTAGGAGGGGTTGCTGGGGATCGCACTGCGTCCAGAAGTCGTCGAGCCCTGGTCAAGGGGGGTTAGGGAGGAGTGAACGGGACCCAAATCCAGATGCCTTGTCTGTCCATCTACCTGCCTGGCCCAGCCTATGCGGATGGGCAGGTGGGTGGGGCCTCCATGCTCACCTACTAATGGGAGGGGGGGTGGGACTTCTTGGCAGCAAGGGCCCCTTGCTCTCATTGGGGGTCACCTCAGGCAGCCCATTTGGACCAGCCAAATGGGAGGGAAGAATCAACACAGCCAATTGAATCTGGCTTAGGATGAGGCAAGGGGAAGGCAGGCAGGGAGGGGGGTCCTTGTAGACACGTACACTCACACATAAACACGTGGTCACACGCATGTGTGGGCGCTGCAGCCAGTCAGACTGGGCCAGCTGCCCCACCATTTCCCTGACTGCATGGAGACAGTAGAATTAGTGAACCCCTGAGTTAACCTGTAAGGCCTTCCGTGTAACCTGCATCTAGAGTTTAAGAAGCTTCTGCTGTTTTGCCGGAATTGACGGTGATTGGGGAGGGCTGGGTGGGTTGGGGGCCTCCGCAGGGACCCTGGGGCGGGGTGGGGGGAAGAGATCAGCCATCTTGGGGCTACCCAGTCAGCACGTGCACGCTTTGGATCTGCTCAGCACACTTCCTGTCAGCTCTGGCAGCCTCAGCCAATGTGTCCCCTTCAATGTCCTGCCCAGAAGAGGGGATATCCAGAGTGGCTGAGTCTGCCCAGAGGGCACACTCCCTCCCCTGTTCTCCAGTGGTATTTCAAGACCCTCAGTGGGGACGTTTTTCCCAAAGAGACCTTGGGGTGGCCACCTAAGCTGCTGATACCTACTCTGTGTCTTCAGCAATTCTGTTTCAAGGGCAATCCATTTCTCTGCCTCTGGGAGCCCCCTTCTCAAATTCCAGGCCTAAGTTTTAACATGAGAGTCAAGACAGGGTTATTTAGTGATTAACGGCAGAAGACTAAGGTGTAATTTTGCCGTGAAGGTGGAAACTGAGGGACTGAGGGCTTGGAAAAGGGGAAAAGGTCATGTATCTACTGAACCCCAACTCTGTGGTCCTGGGACTTTGTTCATCCTAGCTTGCAATGAGTCCCAACACCTCACTAGATTGGGGCAATGAATCTAGAGAACCTTTGGGATTGGTTGGGGGGAGTCAGTCCTGATGGGAGAAGGTCCCCTAGAGAGGGAGGGGCTATGGCTACTTTGCAGTTGGCCTTGAAACCTGATCCTGTAGCTCTCCTAATGTTTTCCTTTTTCTCCTATTTTCTACTTTGTGGGGCACTTTTGGAGTCTTGGGGGGAGTTGTTGGGGGTCCCGTTTTCTGGGGCCTTCTCCAGCCATCTTCTGGGGCCCTGGATTCCACCCCTATCAGCCCTGTATGTTCTCAGACAGAGTCAGACCCTGCTTCTGTGCCCAGAGGCACTTGGCACACATTCCATAAGCATAATTTTCTCCCCCATGAAAGTCCAGCAGGTCTCTGGGAACCATTTGTTTAAAAAAACAAAAAACAAAAAAAAACAAAAAAAAAAACCTTTAATTTTCTGGTAACTTCCAGTTCTTTGGCACATCCTCTGCTGGGACTTGGGGTGTGTGGATGGGTCTGATGGGATTGGTAATACCCTTTCTTCACCCAGGATTGCGGTTCGGGGGTTCAAGCCACCTTCAGGGAATGGAAGGGGGGAGCCTGGTTCTAGGTTTTTTGTTTTTAAAGAGAACTATTTAATTTTTTAATTTATTTTTGGTTGATTTTTGCACAATGAAGTTTCAACTTCTCAATCTTCTTTCCTGCCCAGGGCTGCAGATCCTGACTGGCCTGGATCTGCAGTCCCTCTTACCCTGTTTACCACATCTCTCCTTACCCTTTCTCCTCTTCCATGGGCTCCAGGGTCTGTCCATTTGTTACTGTGCTGTGCTGGTGATTGGCGCCGAGGTGGCGTGATAAGATTCCACTTGTGTAGAACATTGTTGAGTAAAGATCAGTTTCTTGTGAAACCCTCGGTCTCCATCTGGCCTAGTATGTCCATGGCTTTGACAGAAGAGATGGGAGGGAGCCTGGGAAGCTTTGGAAATGGGGTTGCATAGGACTCAGGAACCAGTAAAACTGGGGGAGTGGGGAAGCAAGCAGACACTAACCAGGCATATTTTATCTAGAAACCGCAAGCCTCTCAAAATTTAATTCCATGTAGAATGGAAAGGTGAACTTTGAAAAACAAAAGATTGAATGTGACAACATGCAGTGTGTTCTTTGGGGGCATAATTACAGCTCATTAAACATCCTGAACTCACTAGAGGAGAGTCATTAGTCATTAGCCTTACAGCTCAGGTTTATGATCTCCATCTGCCCGATTTTGAATTGAATGGTTGCAGTTCTGTCATCATTGACTGACCTTGTGAGTCTGGGTCATTTGGATATTTTTATGCTGTCCAGCGCTGGACAGTTAAGACAGCCCAGTGCCAGACCTACTTCTGTAAATATGTGTGTGATGCAAATGAGTTGCTCAGCTCTGGATATGCGAGGCTAAAACAAAATCTGGTAACTTCAGTAGCTCTCATGGATCATCTAGCTGGACCAAACTTATGCAGCTGTGTGCATTTTAGTGGTTATCCCAGAGAAACAGGACAATGGCATGCCCTACAGACAAAAGCATAGCAGGGAGGGTAGAGAAAAGGTGTGGGCCCGGGAGGGACTGTTCGCAGTCATGTCAGGGTACTCTAGAAGGGTCTCACCATCAGGGTGATGTTTGAGAAAGAGCTATCGGAAGAATCGGGCTGAGGGAAGGGGGCAAGTACTGAAGAATTATGTATTGGTTAAACACAGCATGGCTTACAATAGGTTTTCAGTAAATAAAATCTATGTGATTTTAGGTAATTCATAGTTACTCTGAGACCTCTACAGTGTAACAATGCGTGTTTCTGGCTCCAAAGGAGCCGCTAGTGTCAGTCAGACTGCATTTTTAGAGTGCCGCATTTTTCAAACCAGAATCAGCTGGATCTCCGCATCAGCACTGCCAGAGATACATGTCTAAAAAACTGCAGAAACTAGGGACATAAGATCAATGAAAGGAAGTTGCAAAATCAGGCACCGCTAGGTAGTGGGAATTCGGCACCACGCTAGTTTCTGTTCGGTCGGCTCACTTCCGGCGGGTGTGTAGCGTCACCAGCCAGCGCCGGAAGTGTCCTCGCGCTACCTAGGAGACAGGACGCGGGGGCCCTCACTGACAGGGCCGCTCCGGGGCGCGCCCATCGGTCGCCATGGAGTTACCCACAGAGCCGCGCGACTATCGCCGCTCTTGGGACGATAACTCCGACTCAGAGCCAGAGCCCGACCCCGATTCGCAGGCCGAGGCTTACGTAGCTCGTGTTCTCACTCCGCCGAAACTCGGGCTGCCGCCGTCACCTGCCCCTCCACTGTCCGCTCTCGCCGCATCGTCTGGAGCCCTGGAGTCTCGGGCCACATCCAAGGCCCCCGTCACGGGCGTCCCAGGCCTGCTGAGTCTTCCCCCGGAGCTGCTGCTTGAAATCTGCGCCTACCTGGACGCGCGCCTCGTGCTCCACGTCCTGCCGCGCGTGTGCCACTCGCTGCGCGACCTCGTGCGTGACCATGTCACCTGGAGGCTACGTGCCCAGCGACGCGTACGCGCGCCCTACCCAGTGGTGGAAGGTGCGCAAGCTTGGGGCAGAAGAGGGGGTACATGGGATGCTCTGAGCACAGCTTTTGGAGCAGGCTTTGTGGCTGTCCTAGATCTGATGGGCAGCTGAAGTAGTTACTGGTGGTGTCAAAGCTCCTAACCGCTGGTTGGACCGTGAGACAGATACTTGCGGTCCTGAGGCAATCTGGGAAACTGGGGTCTCTAAACTCAGGATCCAAAGTTCTCAGGCTTGAGATCTGGTGGTACTAAGATCTTGACTCCTGCCTGGTGTTTGATACAGAGACTTGAAGTCTCAGGCTGTTGAATCTAAGTGAGGGGCTCAGGGTGAACTCAAGACTACTCTTAGGTCTAACCTAGCAATTGGTGATCCTCAAATCCCTTATCCCTAGTCTTGACCCAGGTAGGGGTGAGACAGAAACTCAAAGCCCAGAACCTGCAGCCTTTGAACCCAGGCTGGTGTTTAGAGGTTGGGATATATGATACCAGCAATACAGATCCAGTTTTAAGTAGCCTGGAATTTTTAGGCAGTAGCCAGTTGTTACTCCTCTTAGGAAGGGATGGAGGGGCTAGGGAAAGACTGTTTGGGGACCTTGAATTGATCGGAATTTTGTATAGCTTAATGTTCTGGCCAATTTCTAATACTGAATCTCTGTACATAATAATTGGGTTCTACACCTTGGCAAAGCTCTCTGGTTTACAGATACTAGTTTAAGAAGCACTTCTCTAGATCCAGTTCAGATGACTGAGGCAGAAAGTTGGTTATGAAGTTCTAGCTTCTGTTGCCAACTTGAGGATTGAAGGATTGAAGCTGGACAGCTGTGAGGAGTTGGAGCAGAACTGAACATCTTGAGGTTGATATCCCCCTGGCTTGGATGTCCCTAAGGCTTCAATTTCCCAATTTCTATAAACAGTAATTGCTGAGGATTAGTCATATCTGCTTGGAGGTAGTTGGATTGGTGATCCCAAAGCCAGAAGCTGCTTCCTTAGGGGAGTGGAAAGAATCCAAGTAGGGTTATCTTCTAACACTGATGTGTGTTGTACTCTCTGGAAGCCAGAGGTGGGCTCAGCCAGTTAGTGTGGGTGGCAGACTTCCTGCCAACTGGGAACCCTGCTCATGGTGCCCCACAGAGGAGGACTTTGACTGGCCAGCGGCGTGCATTGAACTGGAGCAGCATCTGTCACGCTGGGCAGAGGATGGAAGGTGGGCTGAGTACTTCTGCCTGGCTGATGGGCACTTTGCTTCCATTGACTCCGTGTTGCTGCTCCAGGTGAGGCAGGAGATGGGGGAAAGGGGTAGGTGAGTGTGGGTCAGAGGAAACCTGACAACATCCCCTTACTCCCTCCTCAGGGTGGGACCCTGTGTCTGTCAGGCTCCCGAGATCGCAACGTCAATCTGTGGGACCTGCGACAGTTGGGGGCAGAGCCCAATCGGGTCCTGGTCAAGGCTCTGGGCTCCCAGCAGAACAGCACCCACAAGGTAAGGCACCAGGTAGAAGACATGAGGTCTGGGAGGGACACTGGCTAAGGGCATGGATTTGGGCATCAGATCTGACAGGTTTTAATCTAGCTCTGCTATTGTTGGTGTGATTTTTTTTTTGGCCTTACTTTCTCACTTAGTATGAGCACAAATGAAATGAACATGTATTAAGAGCTTTGCTCATACTGAGACACATGTAGGTGCTTATTGGACATCAGGTCTGGAGCAGGGAAATGATGTCTGTGCATGAGAAATGGTTGTGGAGGGGCACTTCCATCTGTTATAGAGGTGATCTGTACTGGCTGGTGGCCTAGAACTTGATCTCAGCCAAGAAATGGGTCCAGATCCTCTCTCTGCTGATTCCTGTCTCTGTGACCTTGGACAAAGGGTCCAACCTTTCTGTGACCCAGTTTTCTCATGTGTAGAACAATTCACATGGCTGTTCTCAGAGAGTTTGGTAAGGAATGGTTCTTTGCATCTTAGTTCTGAGATAGGGGCTGTTTTATGTCTATTTTCTCATCGAAGAAACCAGAGAATAGATGATTTTCCCCAGTCACAGAGTAGAGGCCCAATTCTTAATCATATCATGTGACCTCAAACCACTAATGGTATTTAATTTAGAAATATTATTGGGTGGTGGTGCAAATGTCTTATTCTTTAAAGTTAGACAGACCTACAGACCTAAGCTCTAATTTACACTGACAACTTGTTCTGTCTTCTGGGTACAGTTGTCTTTCTCCTTAGACTCTGTTTTGTTGCCTGTGAAGTGGGAATGATCACAGGTGTCCCATCCCACAGGGCTGGGTGTGGTCCTTGGCAGCACTAGACCATCGAGTGTGCTCTGGTTCCTGGGACAGCACGGTGAAACTCTGGGACATGGCAGCAGATGGGCAGCAGTTTGGTGAGATAAAGTATGAGGGGTTCTGGACAAGGGGATCCTGAGGAACAGGGTCCTGCCTGACCCCAGCCCCAGCCCTGTGTTCCCTACATCCCCAGGGGCAAGGCAGCTGTTCTGTGCTTGTCCTACCGGCCTGACATCTTGGTGACGGGCACCTATGACAAGAAGGTGACAATCTACGACCCCAGAGGTGGGCCAGGGGCTCTTGGGCACTAGGTGGGGAGATCAGGGCTGCTTGGGGGCTGCAGGATCATGCTTATAAAGGAGATGTTTGAGACTCATAGTGTAACTCATAGTCACATAGCCCATACTGCCCAATGGGTATCTGTAAGGTACTGTGTGAAAGGGTAGGTTTTAGGGATGGGAGTGAGTGGTGGTAGACCCCACCTCTACTTGGGGTGAGTAAGGGACATGGAGGGCTTTCAGAGGAGGAGCCTCTGAGCCTGAAGCCCTGGATACATAACCCTGGAGATGGTTAGAATTCTGACTCCTGTTTCCCCCATCTATAAAATCTTAACATTTCCAGTACCATGTGGTTAATGGGAGATGATACAGATCACTGTGGGTTAAATAGCGTTGTTTACATAAAACCCCTAGAACAAAGGAACTCTATCAGACATATATATGTCTTTTGTGTTATTTATTTGTTCTTATTTTGTTTAATTGAAGTAGTGCCCTTAGAAGATAGAGCTATGGTAGTGATTGGGTGGGTGTGGGGAGCCTGTCTAGGTGGACTCTTGGGCTAATGAGGTGGTTTGTGCTGAGATCTGCCAAAGTCTGGTCAGTCTGATCTGAACTGAGAGTAGATGTGACTGGAGTAGATGGAGGGCAGAGGTCTTGTGGTCCTGGGAGACTGGATGCAGCTGGGTGAGGAGAAACTTTCCTGCATGATGGGGGTGGAGGGGCATTTGGGAGAAGCAGATGCAAAGTTTTGTCAGGTAGGATGGAGGCCCAGAATTCTCAGTAGTGGGGGGCTCTGATGTCCCCCCACCAATCCTGGCCCATTGCCCACAAAGTTGGCCCAGTCCTGCTGAAGAGCCGGCGGTTGCACTCTAGTGCTGTGTTGGCACTGCTGGCCGACGACAGGCACATCATCTCAGGCAGCGAGGATCACACCCTTGTGGTGTTTGACCGTCGGACCAACAGCGTCCTGCAGCGGCTGCAGGTTGGCACTCCCTTGTAGCCCTTCTTTGGATTTTTGTGTGGCTAGGCTCAGTCTGACTTGCTTCAAACCATGTTCCTTCCACAGCTGGACTCCTACCTGCTTTGCATGTCCTACCAAGAGCCCCAACTCTGGGCTGGAGACAACCAGGGCTTGCTACACGTCTTTGCCAATCGTGATGGCTCCTTCCAGCTTGTCCGGGTCTGCCAGGGTCCCATCCCCTTATTGCCCATCTCTCCTTGGCCCTTTCATATGAGGGTAGTATTGGTGGTGGTGGTTGGCTAGCCCCAAAGGCCATTCCTGAGTGTTACTTGTCCCTCTTCCCTGCAGTCCTTTGATGTGGGCCATAGATCTCAGATCACAGGCATCAAGCACTCGCTGGGAGCCTTATATACCACGTCCACAGATAAGAGCATCCGGGTAAGACCTCTGAATTGGTCACTTCCCAACTCCATCCCCACAGTTGGAGGTATACCTGACCTTCACCCTTTGCTCCTCACTAGGTACATGTGCCTACAGACCCACCGAGGACCATCTGTACTCGAAGCCACCACAATGTGCTGAATGGGGTAAGGCCCTGACCTGTGTGCCTTGCCCAGCTCCCCAAAGTGCCTCTGACTCCTGGTGTCTTTTCCCTCACAGATCTGTGCTGAGGGCAACCTGGTGGTGGCTGCTTCTGGAGGCCTGTCACTGGAAGTCTGGAGGCTGCAGGCCTGAGCTGATGGTGTGGATGTGAATCTGTCGGCTGGCTGACTGAACCTCAGGCTTTGTTCTCAGGGGGAACCTCCCCCACACTGGTGCTGCCTCTGCCTGCCCACGTAGGCCTAGGACACAAGAAGTCTGAACCATAGGCAGTGGTCTTGACCCCAGAACCCAAGCCTCAAGAAGTCCCATGCCATAGGAGGGGATGTTGACTCTCCCAGAGGACTGCTCCCCTGATTGGGGGCCCTGTTTTCTGATTCTGATTCCTGCTTTCTGTTGGGTAGGAAGGAGAAATAAACCTGATATGTTGGTGCTCTGGTATAGCCTAAGTATGCTGCATGTGTCTGCTTGGGGCTGGGATCTGATCTGGGGATTCATTTGTGACTGTGTTTCAATAGCTTCTGAGACAGTCACAGCTGTGTCTAGGCATACCTGTGCCATCTAAAGCCATTTCTGCAGCTGAATGTATATTATCTGGTACATGGGTTTGGAGTCACCTTGGGTGTACATGCATGTCTGTGCATTTGAAGTGGATGTGTGAGGAAGTGAGATTACCCCATGTGGGCACCTGTGTGGATCTTGGTGTCTCTATCATCACATGTGGGCATGTGACAAGTAAACTGGGACTTTGACCTGAGCTGTATTTTGGCAGTGGGAGAGGGGACCTTCTAATGCTACCCTATAGGTGCAGGACTGTGTTCTTCCTTGCATAGCCCAGGGTATGCGTGCCACTGTGGCCATGACCCTGAGTGGTGGGAAGGGAGGCTGGACCAAGTGACTCCCACAAGCATGCACTCCCCCTTTGCCCTCTACAACCCCTATTGTAGCCCAACCAAGCCATGCCCAGGGGAGATTCACTTCATATTTATTGAGGTCCCTTTGATTATCAAGGTCACAGGATGGCACAGGGCTTCTTCTCCTTGAAGGGGTTGTTGGCAGCAGGGATGCCCACAAGGAAAGGATCACTCTTGGCCTGTTCTGTGCAGAACTGCAGCAGATCAGTAGCCGCCTTGGATACCTGCAGGGCAGCCCAGTTAGTCAGAGCCCAGTTTATCCACCTGACCTCCGACCCAAACATAACCACTTTACCCCAGCCCTCACCTTTACTCGGTCGATGCCTGCTTCCATCCGCAGCTGCTCCACAGCCTGCCGGGCCTGCCCAATGTCACTGCCAATAGCCATCTTGCCAGACATCTGGGGGAGGTTAAGCAGGTGCATAGGCAGTGGTCTTGACCCCAGAACCCAAGCCTCAGGGTCACCTTATGTCCCTATATGGCCCCCGAGCCTCCTGGGGACTGTAGGATGGGGTGTCTGCTCCCCAACCCCCATCAGGACCACATACCTCAGCTGAGGACTTGACCTGACTGCTCAGTCCTCCAGTGGCCCTGCTCTTTCTCTGGCTCCCTCCACTCACTGGTCTGGACTCTCCAACCCCCTTCAGTGTCCCTCCCCAATCCCTGCAGAGACTTTGAAGCCAGGCTTCTCATGGAGTGAAATGTCATCCATGGCAGCAGCAGCAGCTGCCTTAGCAGAGGGGGCGTCTGCCCCAAGGGGCCTGGTGCTGTCTGTTGTCACATGGCATTTGGTTCCCTGCAGGTTGAATGCCTTGGCTGGGAGATTCAAAAGAAGGGGTGGGGGGAGCTGCTAACCCCACCATTCCTCTTTTGTCAGTTTCTCTGTCCCCCAATACAGAGTTTTTTCCATACTCCAGTTTGCCTGTCCTCTCAGTCTATATTTGGAACCCCCAGGGGATCTCATTACAAATGACAGTCCACATGCTTATGCTGATAGCTTCCAGTGTCCCCATCCAACCCATTCTCTGACCTCAGAACTCTTCCTGCCTACTGTGGTGGTCTATTGCATCTTTCTCATCAAATTCAGCCAAAGCTGGATTCTGAATCATCTTTCTTCTAGACCATCTATCCCCAAATTCACCACCATCTACCCAACTGCCCTGCCTAAATCTTGATCTCCTTCACTCCTCTCTTTCTTGTATCTCTGCATTTAATCCTTTCTCAAGAGTAATCAGCTCAACATTCAAATTAGTTTCTTGAGTTGGTCATGTCTATCCACCCCTGTTGGTATTATCTGGTCCTATGCCTATCTCTACTCCTTGGGCTAGCGTGTCCTCCTTGCCTTGGTCTCCCCTGCCCTCCACTTCCCTGTACCTGTTCTCCATTGGGGGTGATTCCCAGTGGTGGAATCTATTAAAAAATAAATCTGATTACAACAAGGACAAATTCAGGATATTGAGTAAAATAAGCCACAATAAGAACAAACACTGGTTGATTCCACTTATATGAGGTACCTAGAAGAGTCAAATTAATAGAGACAGAATATGGAACTATGGGTGCCAGGGCTGGTGGAAAGGAGAATGAGCATTTAGTTTATTTTTTTTTAAGTTTTACTTTATTTACTTATGTATATAAGAATAGTTTGATAGGCTGAGACTTTAACCCCTGTGCCATCAGGGAGATCCTAGCAGTTTTAAGCTTTTTTAAAAAAGATTTATTTGTGCATACAAGAACTGAGGTATAGGTCAGAGGTTTAGGGTATGAGAGGATTCACCAGAGACAGAATGGGGAACAGAACAGGCAGGTCTATGAAAATACACTACTGAGGGGAACAGCAGGTGAGACAGAAAAGGCCTGCTGTACTATGTGGATCAGCTCCCTGGCCTGGAATGGAACTCATGGCTGACCATAACTTGATAGTGCTGAGGCTTTAACCTCTGTACCACAAGGGAGGCCTGGGGATTTAGTTTTTTTTAGATCTATTTATTTATGCATATAAGAATTGGGGTACTGGCCTGAGGTGCGGAGGTGAGAGGATTCACCAAAGATAAAGTTGGGAGCAGAACAGGCAAACTGACTGAAATACACTGCTGAGGGGAGCAGTGAGTGGTCAGGAGTGGTCTGCCATGCCATGTGGGGATTGAACTCATGCTGCCGTGGCTGGGGATAGCTTCATAGTGCTGTGCTTTAACCTGCTGTGCCAACAAGGAGAACCCCTGGTTATTTAGTTTTTAATGGGAACAGAGTTTTAGTTTGGAAAGATGACAAAGTTTGGGATGTGTATGGTGGTGATGGCTATACAGTTTGAATGTACTTATTGCCACTGAACCAGACACCCTAAAATGTTATGATGGTCAATTTTAGGCCATGTGTAATTCACTACAGTAAGAAAATTTTAGAAAAAAGTTTCTCAGTTCCTTTTTAAAACTTTGTGATGGTTTACCAGCCTCTTAGCATCAACCTACCTTCTTTACAACAGCTTATAGGACCCTGACTATTTTGGCACCTTTTGTTCTCTCAGAATCAATTTATCAAACTCTCTTTGACTTCATTCCTTATGGATTACTCTGATCACTGTGTATATGTTTGTTCATTCATTTAGCCTTTATTATTTTAAAAGATTTACTTATGCATATAGAACTGGGGTACAGGCCAGAAGTGGGGAGAGTGAGAGAACTCACCAGGGATAGAGTGGGGAGCAGATCTACTGAAATACCCTGCTGAGGGAAGCAGTGGGTGGGTCAGGAGAGGTCTGCGTGCCTTGTGGGTCACCTCCCTGGCCGGGGATGGAACTCATGCTGCAGTGGCTGTGGATAGCTTTGTAGTGCTGTGATTTAACACGTTGCTCCACCAGGGAGGGCCCTCATTTAGCCCTTATACGGACATGCCACAACTGATCACAGTAGAAAGAATAGCAGGGGCCTCCCTGGTGGCCTAGGGTTAAGTCTCAGTGCCCTCACTGTGATGTCCTGAGTTCCATTCCCCATCAGAGGGATCACACATGGTGCAGCATGCCTCTCCTGTCTTGTCTGTTGCTCTCTCTAGCAGTGTATTTAGTAAATCTCCCTGTTATGCTCCCCACTCTGTCTCTGGTTAATCATCTCATACCCTGTACCTCTGGTCTATACCCCAGCTCTTCTATACATAAAAAAAATAAATAAACCTTAACAAAAAGGAAAGAAAAGCAATAAAACCAGATAACCCTGCCCTCACAAAACTGCTATTTCTAATCAGGGAGCAATGGACAATAGCTAATTTATTAAGCACTATGAAAGATAACAAAAAGTAGGTAAACGTGAGAGTATAGTCAAGGCATGTCTTTTTGAGATTTGGACTGAGGCCCAGATGAGGAACTGGGACAGGGTGTGTTCCTGGCAGAGCTGTAGATACATCACCCAATCACAAGGCTGAAGTCTGTGGAACCATTTTGAAGGTGGAGCCAGCTAGATAACACAGAGAAACTGCACAACCATCTTGTTTGAACTGGGACAAAGACCTTTGGTCAGGGTCAGAAAGTAATTGTTTTAAGAAATCATCAAGTAAACAATTGTTTGAGAACTGATGATTGTATACTTATTGCCAGAGAGTAGAATTAGTAACCAATTAAAATAAAAATGTTTCTTAGTAATAATCAATTATTTAACAGCTCACTTCATCTCCCCCCCTTTTTTTTCCCATGAGACTCCCTGACTTTTCTCCCTCCTCAGGGTACATTTTTATTTCTACCTAAATCTGTAGACCCCAAATTGCACTTCACCTTACTTGCCTCCTAAACTTTTAGGTTAGTAATTCCTTGATTAGGGAAGAACTGGTGGATTCTATAACAATGAGGAAGTACGTGTAAGTGGAAGAGGAGTGAGTGAGAGAAGGTCAGTCAGTATCCTCCAAGTTCATGGTAAAGAGCCTGTATTTTACTCCTTGAGAAAAGCCAGTGTTAGAAAGTTTTAACAAGGTATGATGTTATGATGCATTTTATTTATGTTTAACAAGCTCCGGACACAGTTGGGAGATAAACTGGAGGGATAACATGAAGGCCATGGGGACTATGAAGAACGTCAAGGATGTTCTGTTCTTCCTTAAGTAGGTTCATTTCCAGTCTAAGAGACTATGCACTGGCTGTTTTTTTCTCCCATGGCCTCTCTTAAATTGTCACATTTTCAGTCTTTTTAGCTTCTGACTTGGCTCACATATTGGTATATTTTCCCAACCACCTGTCCCTCCAACTAAAAGCACCATTTCCTCCATGCTCCTCCATTCAAAACATTCAAGCATCACCCTATTTAAATCCTGAATAGCACTTAGCACGGTTGTTATCCATCTCTCCAAACTGTGGGCTCCCAGAGGTCAGAGTCCACATCTTTTCCACCATTAAATAGACAGTGCCCAGCAGACATCAATATATAGTATAGACTGCATAAATTGTAGAGTGAATGATTAAAGGGGTCCCATGTTTTTAAAGATTTATTTACTTATGTATACAAGAATTGGGGTACAGGCCAGAGGTGCAGGGAGTGACAGGATTCATGAGAGACAGAGTGGGGAGCAGAAGCAGATGACTGAAATACATTGCTGAGGGGCACAGTAGGTGAGAGGAGAGGTCTGCTGTGCCATGTAGGATACCTCCCGCCCTGGGGATCAAACTTGTTCTGCAATGGCTGCAGATAGCTTCATAGTGCTGCACTTTAACCTCTTGCACCATCAGGGTGGTAGAGGGTCGCATTTGAATCACATTGTATATGGGCCCAAGAGATAGATCCACCCTCCAGGGTCTCATATTTGGGCTGGAGGAAAAGAGATGTCAGTGTTGGATCCTAGAGGAGGTGCGTTACTCTGAGGAAGGTCACAGAAGGATTTCTAGAGGAAATAACAGCTACTTCTACCAGGGAAAACAGAGCACCAACAGGAATCACCATCTCATTTTGTAACAGATATAGGTTTCATGGACTCCACCCCACACTCTTTTCCTCCCAGACTTTTCTGGCCATTTCTGACCCTTTTTCATGGGTCCCTGCTGGAAGGTGCTTTAGGTGTGTGGCTGGCTTTCAGGCCTTGCTTTGGGCCAATCCCTTTTGGGTGGACTTTTATCCATGAGGGGACGGGTGCTTCAGGTGTTTGGTTCAGAAACTATAATCTGTTACAGGCTGACGCCAAATCTGTTACAGGACAGGGAGAGAGGGGCATCCCTGAAGCCCCCAAACCTGCCTGCTTTAAGTGGGTTCTGCCATCTGCCGTGTCAAGACAAAACATAAAACTTTAATGAAAAGGGACTTTAATACAGTGAATATACAATATGGAACACAAAGAATATAACTTCTAAATCAAACACCTGAAGTTACCCATCCCCTCGTGGGCAAAAGTCAACCCAAAAGGGGTTGGCCCAGAGCAAGGCCTGAAAGCCCGCCGCTAGACTAAAGCACCTTCTGGCCAGGATCCATGGAAAAGGGTCAGAAATGGCCAGACAAATCTGGGAGCAAAATCAAAATCAATATAAACACTGCCATAGTCAGCTCCCTACAGGTATCTCACCCACATCTGCCTTAACCAGTTCAGGGTCAGGAAACAAGCATGGTTACTTTATCACATGCTTGCTGTTCCATGTGGCTTCCTCAAGTTTCCTTTTTGTTTTCCATCCAGCTTCCTTCTCTTGGCCTGGTGGTTTGTGGCTGATCGTTTTGGCTCTCCATAGGTTTTCAGCGTGCTGGTGGAGTCCAAGTCAGCAAAACTGGTAGGACATTTTGTTAACTTGTATTTCTCTCCCTTTTCCCCTGGGTTATTCCTTTACCTTTCTCCTTATAAATAAATCCATTATTTAACCTTTTTGGGTGCCCATAATACGATTGAATCGTAAGCGTGCGGGTGAAGACCCACAGACAGGCAACCCAATTCACATTGGGGTGCCCTGTAACAATTCTTTGTCTTTTCTGTATTGCTCATTAATTGTACTAAAGTTCCTCTCCTAATTAAAGGTCTTATGTCTTGTCTTGATGCGGCAGCTGGCAGAACCTATTTAAAGCAGGCAGGTTTGGGGGTTCAGTGGTGCCCCCTCTCCCTGCCCTGTAACAATTTTGACAAAGGACTGTAAAAGACAAAAACGGTCTGACACTGCCTGCTGACTTAATTCCTGTCCAAGGGCAGTATCTAGAAAGACATCTCTCCCCCAAGACAAACACGGACAAGCGCCATGCAATGCGGTGGGTCTCCAGCAGATGGCTGTGAAAGCAGGACTCTTCCTTCTATCAGTTAGAAAACACGTGAAAAAGGAATACAGGCTCCTCCAGGCTTCCGTACACAAACACTCGCAAAGATGCCTCACACCCCCTCAAACAAGGTCATATGACTAAGCACTTCCTGCACTTCCCCCAGTCTTCCTCGAGCCTGATTTCCTGCGCTCTTGTAGAGAACACTAATTCAAGGCCACCGAGGCCCATCCTGGAGCAGCTCTAACTTGGGTGTGCAGCCGCAGGAGCATGGAGGATCCCCGGGAGGGGAAGGCGCCTGCAGCGGCACTGGCCGCTGTGTTAAAGCATAGTTCAGCGCTGCCATCTGAGAGTGCCCAGGTTCGGGGCTACGACTTTAACCGCGGTGTGGACTATCGCGCGCTGCTGGGTGCCTACGGCACCACTGGTTTCCAGGCCACAAACTTCGGACGTGCAGTGCAGCAAGTTAGCGCCATGGTGAGATCTGGGGCGGGACTTCCTGGGTCGAGGGGGCGTGGCCTCCAGAACCCCGCCGCGGTACCGGGAAGGGCGGGGTTTCCCAGAGGAAGGAGGCTTGGCCTTGGTTGGGGAGGTCCAATTGTTGGAGGCGGGCGGTGTCCAACCTACGCAGGAATTTGCGTGCTTGAAGCGTTCTCGTTGTTCCCCAGTGTAGATACCATAGTGTCAAGATGGGGTGGGAACTCTTTCTAGGTAGCAGGCGGATTATAGAAAACGTGTGAAGGTGTTCCCTAATGGGCGGAGCCGGTAACAAAGCCGCTGGGTTGGTGGAGGCTTGGAGGAGGAGCCCAGATCAGAAGGCGATCTTGGATTTGCTTTCCACTGGGAAAGGGGGCTGGACCTGCAAAGGCTTGTGCTCTGACATTCCGAATGTGAAGTGGGCTGAGTCTGCACAGGAGACATTTCTTCCCTGGCTCAGGTAGAATTTAGTCCCATATCCCTGAGCGGGCAGAACCTGGGGCCATAGTCTGATTCAGAAACCCTTTTGGTATTCTTGGACAGGAGTTTGGGGCCAGAGGTTAACACGACCCTGCTCTTACATCTAGATAGAGAAGAAGCTGGAGCCTCTGTCACAGGATGAAGACCACCATGCAGATCTGACTCAAAGTCGCCGCCCACTCACTGGCTGCACCATTTTCCTGGGCTACACCTCCAACCTCATCAGTTCAGGCATCCGTGAGACCATACGTTACCTCGTGCAGCACAACATGGTGGGGACCCGGTGGGGCTGTGGCCTTGGCCTCTCAGAGTCTCATTGGTTTTCTAAGTGAGATAGATTGATAAGGATCAGTGTTAAGCGGAGGAACAGGATGGAGTTTTGCTTTGCAGCTGACTTCTCCCATCCTTCTGGCAGCAGTCTCCCAGGTGGCTGCTATCCCCATCAGAATGGTCTTGGATGAGAATTTGGGTTCTGCCTGGTATGTGCACAGAACCCCCTTCCTGGGTCAACTTCATTGTCTTGTGGCTGTAGGTGGATGTCTTGGTGACCACAGCTGGGGGTGTGGAGGAGGATCTCATCAAGTGCCTGGCGCCCACATACCTAGGCGAGTTCAGCCTGAGGGGGAAGGAGCTTCGTGAGAATGGGATCAATAGGTAGGGTCCCTGCGTGGTGCTAGGTGGGGAGCTGAGGTGAGGGTCCTGGGCTTCCACTTGCCTCCTATCCCCAGGATTGGGAATCTGCTGGTGCCCAATGACAATTATTGCAAATTTGAGGACTGGTTGATGCCTATTCTGGACCAGATGGTGTTGGAGCAGAACACAGAGGTAGAGCAATGGAAGTGCTGGTGGTGGTGGGGTAGCACGGTGGGAGTCAGGTAAACATTGCTGACTGAAGCCCATGTTTCCTTCCAGGGTGTGAAGTGGACACCTTCCAAGATGATTGCACGACTTGGCAAGGAGATCAACAACCCAGATTCAGTGTATTACTGGGCCCAGAAGGTAAGGGATGGACGGGGGCAGAAATGACAGGCCTTGGCATGTGTTATTTCATCTACACAGACTGCTGGGCTTATTTTTTGTATTATCCACATTAGGTGAGGAACCTCAGTCACAGAGGGTGGGCAGTTTGTCTGAAGTTACACAGCTACTGAATGTGGTCTGAGCTTAGATTACCTGGGAACTTCCAGGGCAGGGGTGAAACACCCCATGGAGCCTTGTATAGGGTCTTATGCTCCTGTGAGGGCCAGCAATTGAAATAATATCTGCCAGATGTTCTTTCAATATTTCTTTATCTGCCAGACGTGACCTAAGTATTTTATGTGGATTTTCTTGCATATGCCCTATCTGTGAGGGAGGTGCTCTTTCTATTTCCATTTTACAGCTGAGGAAACTAGGGCTCAGAAGTCAACATCCTGGCCACATTCAGGCATAGGATGGGATGCCACTAGGAAGGGACAAGGTTTCCTCCATTGGACTCAGCTCCAGCCACTTTCTTGTCTTTCCCCAGAACCACATCCCCGTCTTGAGCCCAGCACTCACAGATGGCTCCTTGGGAGACATGATCTTCTTTCATTCCTACAAGAATCCAGGCCTGGTCTTGGACATCATTGAGGGTGAGGTGCCAGTGCCACTAAGGAGCAGGGAGGAAGGCTGATTGAGCCCACATCCTGACACAGCCTTTCCCCTCCAGACCTGAGGCTCATCAACACACAGGCCATTTTCGCCAAACGCACTGGCATGATCATCTTGGGCGGGGGTGTGGTCAAGCACCATATTGCCAATGCCAACCTCATGGTGAGTGGGGATGCAGTGTGCTTGGTCTGTAGTGGGGGTGGCATTTGGGCTTGCTATGCAGATGTGCCTCCTGGAACAATGCCATGTGCTAGGGAGACAGCTGTGTGTTAGAACTGCCTGAGATTTGCAAGCCCTTTTGTCTTGCCCTCTTGACACACACCTACAAATCTTAATACATGCTACCATTTTAGTCGGGGAGACAGCGCCAAGTCCAGGGGCAGTTACTGCTATAGAGAAAATAAGGAGGTAATGAGATGGCAATAAAAAGGGGCACTGTGCAAAGAAGGGAATCTTCCTGGGAAATGGGACCTGTAAACAGAGGCTTTTGGCAAGTACTTCCCACGAGCCATATGATTGTTCCTAGCAGAGGGAACAGTGGTGCAAAGGCTCTGAGTTACCAGAACTAAGTCAAGGAACAGCTAGGCCAGTGAATAGGATAGTGGGAGGTGATAGGCAAATCTAAAGGGCCCTGAATGTTGCAATTTGTGTATCACAGATACACAGGTACTGGCCTCTTTGATTGCTGTGAGAACAAATGTGGGGTCCCCATGAGTAATGATGAGGCTAGGATCTGGGTAGGGGTTGGGCTTAATAGGTCTTCTGAAGATAGAGTGGGTGGTAACTCCTGCTGAGATGTGGAAGACTGTTGTTATAAAGGTGGTAGATTAGGAGAAATATTGTCCATCATCTACTCAGCAACCCCCCTCATTCCATCCAAGAGTTGACTTGGGCCCCTTTCTTGGAGCCAGGGGCTAGCCAGGGCTTCTTTTATCAGGGACATAACTTTTTAGCCTTTCTACCTACAGTGTCCTACAGTCTCCCTCCTGTAACTGGCTGACTGGGTACCCTGCCCTTCCCACAGCGGAACGGGGCGGACTATGCAGTCTACATTAACACAGCCCAGGAATTTGATGGCTCGGACTCGGGTGCCCGGCCAGATGAAGCTGTCTCATGGGGCAAGATTCGGATGGATGCACAGCCTGTGAAGGTGAGGGCTGGCCAGCTGGCTGGGGTGCTGCTTCCCAGGCTGCTGCCATAGGTTGTATGGCTCATTTAGATCCCCTCTGCAGGTCTATGCTGATGCGTCCCTGGTCTTCCCCCTGCTTGTGGCTGAAACTTTTGCTCAGAAGGTAGATGCATTCAGGCCTGAAAAGAAAGAGGACTAAAGGGTTGCAGCCTAAGGGAAGCCTCACTTTGTTCTTGATTTATTCATTTGTAGACCCATCCCCTTCCCCATACTTTGGTCTGCAGCATGTCTAGAATAAATGGTTTCAGTTGTCCTTCTGAGCCTGTGTCTATGTCCTTGGTGGTGGTGGTGGGTCCGCTGACTTCAGCCTGCTCCACCCTCAGCCTCATAGGCCTCTTCCCGCCAACACTGGATGCTACCTGCCGTGGCGGTCAGCAGGCAGGGCTCCGTGGGATGAAAAGACAGTGACTGCACCACACTGGGACCCACTGGCAGGGTCAGTGCCAGGGCACCCTGTGGAGTGAGGAGATGGTAAGCAGTTATGAGTTTGTCCCCATCCCCTGATCTGGAGCCACCCGATTCTAACTGCATCGCAGACACTCTCAACTGAATCTGCACCGCCCCCCCCCCCCAAACCCAAACCCCTGCTGCTCCAGCCTTCTGGGTGATCAGGCCAAGTATTTAAGGAGTCTTTCTCACACCTCAATCCCTTTATTAGTAAATCCTCTTGATTCTGCCTTTGAACCTGTCAGAAGAATGCTCATTCTCTCTACCCTCATGGCCACAAGCCTGTCCTGTATTTCTCCCAGCTTTTCTTCTTGCCTTCTGGTTCCACTGGCCCATTTCACAGCCTCAGTGCTCTCACTTCCCTGATGACTCCAGTAATAGCATATATAGTTCTTCCTCTCACTCTGAGGCTGTCCCTTCGTGTGTCCTCCTCCCCCTCTGAATGACCTCCAGAGTCGTGTACACTCCAGAAGTAGACGGAACATTTCACTTCCCTAGAAGCTAGATCTGGCTTCTTGAGTCTCTGGGTCTCTTAGTTCATTTCATCCTTTCTTAGGGGACTTAATCCCTCTGGCCTTAAGGCTCCCCAGCATGGACCCCAATGAACCTGGATAATCTGTTCCCAGCCTGATAGGGGCATCACAACAGGGCTCACAAGCCTTCAGACTGGATACCATGGGGCTGCTCAGATAGCTCAGGCTCTTGAATAACTGTATTTCCATCTCAAGAGTCAGATGCTGTTAGCCCCCATTCCAGGGTCAATCTCAATGGCCTTTGTGGCCTTGCCTGCCTTAGCTCCTGCTGTTTCCACCATCATCCCAAGTGCTTCTACTTCCTAACCAGTGTGTACATGCCACGGCTCTAAGCCTTAGCATATACCATTCCCTTCGCCAGGAATGCCCTTCCTGCTTGTGCTCTCATCTCATTTCTTCCTTGGAGGTCTTAGCTCTAATAGCTCTCCCTTTCTCAGGCCTGGGAGTGACTGTGAAAGGACAGGTGCTCCAATGTGCAGTAGGGTTGGGAAGGCTCACCTCTACTAGATCCCAGAAGAAAACCTTCCCATCCTCAGAGCAGCTGACAACATGCGTGTCACGCTCACTCAGGCAGCAGTCCAGCTTGTACTCCTGGTTCTTATGGCCTGTGTACCTGGGAGATAGAAGCGGGGTCAGGGAGGTTTGGGCCTCACCAGGGGTGGGGGTGGGACACCACAACTCCAAGGACTTACTCGCCCAGCAGCTCTCCTGTATCCTTGTCCAGAAGCCGCAATGTGGAGTCCAGGCTGGACACCAGAATGCATTGCCCATCCCGGCTGAAGCAGATACAAGTGATGGGGCCTGGGAAGAGGGGTTAGGCTGGGGCATGTGTTGTCCTGCCTTCCCTTCCTCTCACAGTCCCGGTCATACTCACTGCCCACATAGTCTGAAAAGAGCTGCCCCATCCTCATGTCATAGCGCCTCACTCGACCATCCACGGAGCTGCAGGAGGGGGTGGAACCAGCTGAAGCATGAATTTGGGTCAAAGGGTTTGTAGTTCCAGGAAGCCTCAGGACGCATACCCTCCCACTCTGCTAGGGTCCTCAGGGCAGGGTTGGGTCTGCCCTGACTACACACCCCTTACTGTCATGCTCAGACTCTGGCTGCCTGCAAAACATGCACTGAACTGAACTTACAAGTGGAATTGTGAGGCACAAGCTTTGAGCCTATGCCCCAAGGGCCAATCAGGTCCCACACTCCACTGCTCAATTTCTGATCTGTAGTGAGCACCTTCAGTTGGGACTTGAAGGATAAGATGGTGCCAACCATATGCAGTCCAAGAGGACATGGGTAGGAACAGGGCCAAGCACAAATACTGGGCTGTCTCAACTGTCCCCATAGTGTGAATGATACTCCAGGGTCGTGGCAACATGTGGACAGCACTGCGTGAGTTTTAAAAAAACTGTTTTCTGGGCCTCCCTAGTGGAACAAGGGGTTAAAACGCAGCTGTCTGTGATCATTGCAGCAGAGCGGTGACCCACATGGTGCAGCAGATTTCCCTGTCTCACTGGCTGCTGCCCTCAGTATTTCAGTAGATAAGCCTGTTCTACTCCCCATTGTCTCTGGTGAATCCTCTTACCCTACCTCCCCCACACCTCTGGCCTGTAGCCCAGTTCTTGTATGCATTAAACAACAACAACAACTGCTTCTATGCCCAGAATAGCACCCTTACATTGGCAGGATATTACCTATTTTCCTATTGTTCACTGCTGTATGCTCAATAACTAAGAAAGCAGCCTACAGTATGTGCTGAAATACACTTTCAGCAAGTAGTAGAAAGGTAGTTCAGGCAGAGAAAGAACAGTTGCTAAGGTCCTGGGTAGGAGCATGCTTGATATTTAACTGAAACAGGGCTTGAAATGAATAGAATCTGAGTTGTCAGCAGGAAGCAGTTCATGCAAGGCCCTGTGAGTTGCTATGAAGAGTGGGATCTTTTTTTTTTTTTTAAAGATTTATTTATTTATTCGTACAGAACTGGGGTACAGGCCAGAGATGTGGAGGGTGAGAGGATTCACCAGGGACAGAGTGGGGAGCAGAACAGGCAGATTGACGAAGTACACTGCTGAGGGGAGCAGCGGGCAGGTCAGGAGAGGTCTGCCACGCCATGTGGATCTCCTCCGGGACAGGCAGGGATCGAACTCATGCGGAAGTGGCTTAAGCTTCTTAGTGCAGTGCTTTACTCTGCTGTGCCACAAGGGACGGCTGAAGAGTGGGATCTTAATCTAAGCAGAGGCAATTTTGCGTCCGGGAGGAGCAAAATTCTCAGTCCACTTACCCTGCCAGGATCTCATGGTCTGACACCTTCACACTAGATATGCCATCCCTGGCTTCATCCAGTATCTGCACTGGCTCAGGCCTCCGAGAGCGGCAGTCCCAGCAGCGAATACTGGAATCAATTGAGCCTGTGATGCCCGCATGGAGGTTAAGTCAGGTTTGGAGGGAGGAAGCAGGGGCAGCACCATGGGCCTCCCTACTTAGGTCCCAGACTCACCAGAGAGGATGATGGTGGCCTCTTCATTAAACTGCACCGTGTTCACCTTCTGAGAAACAGGAACTGCCAGTCAGAGGAAGCTGAACTGGGGGATTGGGATAAACTTTCCAGTGTAGGTTAAATCAAGGACAAAGGCTAAGGGTAGGGGGTATGAAACACATGTATGGGGAAATTAAAAGGTGATGGTTTGAAAAATACTGGGCCAGGGGGGAAGAATACTTGCTCTGTAAGATTGGGGGTGTGTGTCCATGTCATCACCTACATGCTAAAGCAGGTCGCTTACACCAATCCACGCTAAGGAAACCTCTTCTTGCTTGCACTCACCCCAGCATGGCCTCGAAACTTTCGCACGGCTTGCCCCGAAGCGACATCCCACAGCACCACCGCCTTGTCCCCGCCGCCAGAGCAGAGACTACTGTTGTCAAAGGAGCTAGGGGGCAGAAGAGGAAGTCAGCGTCGACCTCCCGTCCCGGCCTCAGGGGCCCAGATTCTGGTTCGGTTCCCAGCTCACCCGGCTGCATCCAGCACCTCATAACCGTGGCCGCTGTAGGTCCGCAGCAGTGTCCCCCGCAGCGGGTTCCACAGCTTCAGGGTCTTGTCGCTGCCACACGTTAGGCAGTAATTGCCATCCACTGGGGAACAGCAGTGGCGGTTACAGAGCCGCCGACCTCAGCAAGTGGCAGGAAGACCCAAATTGAAGATTAGGGTGCTCACCATTAAATCGCACGGCTCGCACAGCCCCCTGCCCGCAGTCCAGCGTCTTCAACCGTTTCTGTGGCAGTTCCGGACCCCGCGGTTTTGGTGTGGGGAAAGCCATTGCTCCAGGATCCTTTATAGTCTACACAGATTTCCGATCTCTCTGAGAACACGCTCGGGTGTAACCACACAATTGTTCTCCGGGGCCTACTTTCTGTTTCTCACTTACTGGTTCAAAAATTCCGAATTTTCTGAAGCTAGCGTTGGGAGTTTTGAAACCTGTTTCCAGGTTTCTATTCCCACTTCCAGTTTTTTTGGAACATTCCCGCCTCTTCCGTCTCCCCGACTAGGGGAAGTCCCGCCCCCAACCACTAGGAACGGAAGCGAAAGAGCTGCGGGTGTTACTCTAAAAGCCACTCTCCGTTTTCCTCGCCGGAAGCTGCCATCGCAGCAGCGGAAGAGGCGCGACCTTCGACTTGCAATGTCCACGAACAACATGTCGGACCCACGGAGGCCAAACAAGGTGCTGAGGTGAGGACCCCAGCGTCATGGGATCAGGGCTTGGATTGTGGGTCGGGACCCAGGGACGCGCTCGCCTATCCCAGGATCGGGACGTTAGCGCCTCTGACCCTTGAGCCTGCCGCAGGTACAAGCCTCCACCGAGCGAGTGTAACCCGGCCTTGGACGACCCGACGCCGGATTACATGAACCTGCTTGGCATGATCTTCAGCATGTGCGGTCTCATGCTCAAGGTGGGCGGGGCTGAATTTACTGTATTGTAGCTCCACCTGATTACGAGACCAGAGGGCGCTTTCGGAGTGAAAGGGGGCTGCCGGCCTGCTCAAAGAGGGCGGGACCCGTGTATTGCTGGGGGAAGGGCTGGGTGACGCTGGGCTAGAAGAGGCGTAGGGGGCGGGGAAGGGAAGTTAGATGGGGAGAAATCCTGGGGTTGAACCTGGGTGGGTGCTTGGAAGGTTGGTCTATGGCTGTGGCCAGGCTTTAAGGCAACTGAAAGGGGACTCATGGAGAAAGGAGTCTTTGACGTGATGGGGCTCCTGTCTTTGACATGATGGGGCATGTCAAAGGCCAGTCTTAAGGCTTTAGGAGATTTGTGGGATCCGAGAGGCAGATGTAGGACCAGAAACCAAAGACCTAGAGTACTCCATCATGGGTGGGGTGGGCTGGAGATAAGCTTCTTCGATGACATGAAATGATTGCCTGGAATTGTCCACAATGGGAGCTTATTGGTATCCACCTGTCTTTCCCCAGCTGAAGTGGTGCGCGTGGGTGGCCGTCTACTGCTCCTTCATCAGCTTCGCCAACTCCCGTAGCTCTGAGGACACTAAGCAGATGATGAGTAGCTTCATGTGAGGCTGGGCCTAGAGAGGGATGGTTTCCTGAGGGAAGGGAGGACTCAAGCCTACCCATTTGGAGTATTAAACACCTCTCTTCTGGGTCCTCCATGGTGGCAAAGCAGGTTAAAGTTGCAGCACTGCAAGCTGGTGGCAGCCGCTCAGTGTGAATTCCATCTGCTATCCTGGAGATGATCCACGTGGCACAGCAGACAGACCTCTCCTTCTTATTCTGCCTATTCTCCCCATTGTCTCTGGTGAATCCTCTCACCACCCCTGCACCTCTGGCCTGTACTCCAGTTCTGTTTGCAAAAATAAATAAATCTTTAAAACAAACAAACAAAAACCCACCTCTCTCCTGTCTTAGGTTGTCCATCTCTGCTGTGGTGATGTCATATCTGCAGAACCCTCAGCCCATGACGCCCCCCTGGTGATGAGCCTATGACAGAGTCACATCCTTGACCCCTGTGCACACCTTCCCTCAGGCCTGGAGCTTGGCCACTCTGCCTCCTGTCTCCGGTTGACACTTTGGGCTTCCCTGGGTGAGGTGGTCTCAGGGCCTGGAGCTGAATGAAGGCCCCTTTGGGCCCATTCCCACTTACTCTGGGGGAGAGAGGGAAATACCATTGGCCTGCTCTTGCCTTCTTCCCCATCCTGCCTGCTGCTGGAAGAGATGCTATCCATGTTGCTAGGTGTATCCACTTGTTTTCTTGTTGGAACCAGTGAATAATAAAGATTTGCAATCTGATTGCTGTTTGACCTTTCTCCTGTGTATCTTAGATCCTCCAGAGGGGGAAGGGCTCTAGTTTGGAGACTTCTGGTGTTCACTCGTTTATTTCATAATCCTTATGACTTAAGTCAGGTACCTGGAACAGGACAGTGACCCCCTGAGACAAGTTAGCAAATGACCAACTGACATGAGGAATCTGGGCTTTGGTTTTCTTATCAGAGAAATGGGATAATGTTTGTGAGCTGGATGACTTTTATAGCTTGCTTGGGTATGGCAAGATAGACTCAGTGTCCTCTTGCATCTCTGTGGCTCTCATTCCCCATAGAAGGACCCTGGTATTTGTCCCAACTTATCTCCAGCACTTATCTCCACTTCTCTCCATGGCCAGTTCTTTTATCCAACGTCTTAATTCCCATCAACCTTTGCTCTTACCGAAGCTAGGTCTGTCTAGACCCTAGTCCTGGAGTCAGTGGGACACTCTAGGGTCGCAGGCACTCAATCCATTCCCTTGGTAAGCCTAGCACCTATAGGAAAACGACTTATATTTCCACGGTGACACAGGGCGCTGGAAGCCACATGGAACTGGCCTATGGAAATGGTCCCTCTGGCCATATCAAAGGTGCAAGCGCTCATAAACTCCATTTGGTTTCGGAGAGGCCACGGCTACCCGCAGTTACCGCCTCAGTCCCGTGACTCGCCGGGCTCCGCCCTAGCCCCGCCTCGGCTAGCGCCTATTGGCCAGGCCGAGTTCTGGAGGTGGGACGTCTCCCTTACCTCAGTCAGGCCCCGGAACCCCCGGGAGGCAGCGGCAGCTGCGGCGGAGCCATGGATGTCCACGCGCGACTTTCTGGGGTCCGCGCTGGCGGCGGCTGGGGCGTGACGGGCCTCTGGATGGACTCTAGTACGCCGCTGCCACCGCTTCCGCATCTCTCCGTCCTCTTTTTGTTGTTCCTGGTGGCACCCGGCGCTTGGGCGGCCGGGTACAAAGTGAGCATGGCCGGCGGGAGTGGGGGGAGGCGGAAATGTACTCCCGGGCCCAGTGAGATCTAGAGCTGGGGTCCGAGGTATGGGTGGGGGTGTTTTATGGGTGCCTAGTGAATGGATGCTAATTTGACAGTGTGGTCTGACTGCGTGCTTTGTGTCACTGCGAGTCTGAATGGGATTGTCTGCTGCCCTGTTTCTGCCAGTCGACTTTCCTAGAGTTTGCATGCACTTAACTAGGTGATTGTGTGTATATGGGAGCGGTTGAGAGCTGGGACCTACAGCCAGCCTACTGGAGTTCCAGCCTGTCTTTTCTTGGAGCCAGGCTGTGAGATCTTGGGCAAGTCACCTCACCTCTCTGATCTTCAGTGTTTTCTTCTGAAACCTGGAGATATTATCCCACCCTCCAGGGTGGCTGCATGGTATTTGCAAATCCTTAATAAACATTAGCACAGTATTTCCCTTGCGTGTGAATGAGAACTGCCCTGAGGGGTTGTGCTAAATGGGACTTAATTTGTGAATATAACTATGTATGTTAATATTCCTGGGAGGGTCTCTTCCCACTTCACTGAGTCACTCATCTCCAGATCAAAATTTATCTTGTGTGCTTCCACTCCCACCCCTGACTGCCTCGTGGGGGTTACTGAGGAAGTGTGTGGGTATGTGTTTGGGGACCCTATACAGACATGCCCCAAGGTGATGCCGGACATGCTCAATGTGCACTTGGTGGCCCATACTCATGATGACGTGGGATGGCTCAAGACGGTGGACCAGTACTTTTATGGAAGTGAGTAGAAGGTGGGGACTGACCACTGGAATATCCATGTCCCCTCTCCATCCCTCATATCCTTTCTGGACCCTCAACACTGGGGTGAGGGCAATGCCTAGCTTGGGTCTTGTGTCTCGGAGTGTGCTTATTAGCTCCCTTGGTCCTGATTGCCTGATCCCTGTGCCCACAGTCCACAATGACATTCAGCATGCTGGTGTGCAGTACATCCTAGACTCAGTCATCTCTGCTTTGCTGGCGGAGCCCACCCGCCGTTTCATCTATGTGGAAATTGCCTTCTTCTCCCGTTGGTGGCACCAGCAGACAAATGCAACACAGGAAGTTGTGCGGGACTTGGTACGCCAGGGTAAGCCTTTCACCCGGAGGAAGTGAAAAGAGGAAGCCGAGCATAGCTTGTTTTTATCACCCTGACATCTGAGATTTTACCATGGCTGTGGCTCTGGCTGCCTGGAATTTCCCTTTATTTGGGATTTCCTTGTATTACAAAGTCCCATCTCCAGTGTATTCGCTGGGAATCTTGCTATCCATGATAAAAGGCAGGGGCCTTCTATCACATATTTGGTCATACTGACCTAGGAATAATCCCTCCTGTCTTTCCAGAACTGCAGGCAGTTCTCATCCCCTTTATCACCATTTCCTGTCCCACTCTTGGCCCTGACAGCAGACCTGGACTTTGCTTCTCCTTGCACAGGGCGCCTGGAGTTTGTAAATGGTGGCTGGGTGATGAATGATGAAGCGACCACCCACTATGGAGCCATCATAGACCAGATGACACTTGGGTTGCGCTTCCTGGAGGACAGGTTTGGCAGTGACGGGCGCCCCCATGTCGCCTGGCACATTGACCCCTTCGGCCACTCTCGGGAGCAAGCCTCCCTATTTGCACAGGTGCTTCTCCTTCTTTTCTTATACCCACTGATCCCTCTGCTCTTCCAGCCCATCCTTTCACTGTAGTCTGAAATGGACCAGGTCCTGTCCCTGTTCTCTGGGCACCTGAGATCCTGTCCCTTAGGTTACTTGTAGATCTGATTCTTTTCTTCCTCTGGATTTGGTCCTGCTTTGCTCCAGCTCCAGACTGACTACTCATTTCCCCCTCAACATCTGGCTCTTTTGACCTGCCTCTAGTACTCTGGCCTCATTTGGTAGAATCAGGCCTCCTCCTCCAGCTGGGTGGCAGGTGGAAACCTTACGTTCTCTTCTTTTTAAAAAGGTTTAGTTTATTTATGCATACAAGAACTGGGATATAGGCCAGAGGCATGGTGGGGTGTGTGTGTGAACAGATTCATCAGAGACAGTATGGGGAGCAGAACTGGCGGATCAACTGAAGTATACTGCTAAGGGGAGCAACAGGCGAGACAGGTCTGCTGTGTCATGTGGGTCAGCTCACTGGCCAGGGAATAAACTCATGCCACAGTGGCTGCCAGTAGCTTGATAGCATGAGACTTAACCCCTGTGCCACTAGGGAGGCTTGACCCTGCCCTGTTTTCTACGGGCTTTATTACTTAGGCTATGACCTTGACCTCTTATATTTTCAGGCTTTGGAAGCGGGAATGTGACCTTGAATCAGGCCCTTCTTTGTGAGCTGGGAAAGGTAGAGGTGGGCATTAGAATTGGACCCACCCCTTTCTGGCTCCAGGGGTAACTTCTGGCCCTTCTTCAAGTTTAGAGATGAGCTTTAGGTCTTTCTGGTTTCAGACTTGCTGTTTCTACCTAGACACTGACCCATCCTTCCAAACTGAGAGTGCTGGTAGTTGGTGGGTTGGTGAGTAGAGGCTGGGCATTTACTGAGTACTCTCCTATCTTGACTCACATTCTGACCCACCATCAGATGGGTTTTGACGGTTTCTTCTTCGGACGCTTGGATTATCAAGATAAGATTGTGCGGAAGGCAGAGCGGGAAATGGAGCTCATGTGGAGAGCCAGTGCCAGCTTAAAACCCCCTGTTGCCGACCTCTTTACGAGTAAGGACATGGGTGTGGGGCCTGTGTGTTCACTTGGGGCTACAGATTCAGGAGGAACTTACACTAGTTTAATACTCTGCTGTCATTCTCTTGAAGTGCTTGAAAATTTATTTTTCGCATTGCACCCTGTAAATTCTGAAGTCTGTCCTGGGTGGACCATTGCTGGCTTTTTTTTTTTTTTTTACATTTTAAAAGGACAGGTTTATTAGGAGAGGGAAAACGTAAAAAAGAGCGCCTGCTTAGTCACAGGTGGGCAGAAGAGCTGCCCATGGCAGGCTTTGGCCTCAGGGCAGATCTGGGGCACTGGACCACCCCCTAAGCTTTGTGTGGCCCACAGGTGTGCTTCCCAACCTTTACAACCCACCGGACAGTATGTGCTGGGACACAGTGTGTGCTGACAAGCCTGTGGTGGATGATCCCCGCAGTCCTGAGTACAACGCTGAGAAGCTGGTCGCTTATTTCCTTCAATTGGCTGCTGCCCAGGTAACTTTGGTGTTCAGACCCTTTGAGACTGATATATATGATGTACCTAGCTCTTCCTAAAACCTCATAACCCTGGAGGAAGGGTCACTGTCACCATGACCCCTCCCAAATTTATGTGTATTCATCATTAGAAACTTGGAGACCCCTTCACCATTGCCTACACTCCCCATGGTGGTGAAACAGCATGACACATCATCTAGGCAATAGGCTCAAGAGAATTAATTACTTGTGGCTATTTTTCTCTCAATCCCTGTGCTTCCACTCCACACTCAGCCTCAGTGTCTATCCATACTCTTGATCACACATATATCCAGACAGCTACACACAGGTGGCCCAGCATACCCTGTCTCTCCCACAGGGTCACAGTTACCGAACCAACCACACAGTGATGACCATGGGCTCGGACTTCCAGTATGAGAATGCTAACATGTGGTTCAAGAACCTTGACAAGCTCATCCGGTTGGTCAATGCCCAGGTCAGTGTGCTTACCCTGTGTGGCTATATGTGCCTGGATCCTGGGCCTTGGGTCACATGCAGAGCCTTGCGTGCTGTCTTAGTTTTCTTTTCTAAAATTCATTTATTTATGCATACAAGAACCGGGGTCCAGGCCAGAGGTGTGGGGGTGAGAGAATTCACCAGAAACAGAGTCGGGAGCAGAACAGACAATTGACAAATACTGCTAAGGGGAGCGGCAGGTGAGACAGAAGAGCCATGTAGATCACCTCCCTGGCTGGGATAGAACTTGTGCTGCAGTGGCTGTGGCTAGCTTCATAGTGCTGTGCTTTAACCCCTTGCACCACAAGGTAGGG